GGCGTAGAAGTTGCAGAAGTGCAGACGGCTCTCAAAGGAGTGAGAGCCGGCTCTCCAAAAGAGAGAGCCGGCTCTAGGGCAAGGAGAGCCGGCTCCCTCTTGTGGGAGAGCCGGCTCTATGCAAAACACTACACAGTATGTGTAGTTCTGTGTTTTTTTTAACTTCAGGGGCTGTGGGGTGATTCTAAAGGTGTAAATGGGCTTCTAAGCAATTTTTAAATAAGCTATTATAGTTCCAGGATGGTTAGTCTCTGCAATTAAACTTACTTGATTTCAGAAAATTTAATGGTTTAATTGTATGTTGTCCATGGAAGGGAGGGATCTGACGGTATGTTGCTGTTCTAGCAAGTAGTAAGAGTTGGTATGATTATACTTTAAGATAAATGGATATAATATGCTTTGTTGGTTATATGAATTGTAATATATCAGTCCCTGAATTTTTGGATGATTTAATCACTGATTGTAAACGGATAGGGAATATTTAACTGCATATTGTGATGTTAGCAAGTTAAAAGGATTTGTATGGTTGTTCTTATATATAATAAATATAATTGAATATGATATGCTCTGTGGGTTTCCAGAATGATATTAAATCATTCTTTGACATAATTGACACTTTACTAATTGCTAATGTTGTCAACTGCCGGACTGTGTTTTAAGTTGGTTGAAATTTAAGTTAAATAAATTAAGTTATCAACTTCATAGATGGATTCTGGATTTTAACTAGATGAACTATTAAACTTTGTCTCGTTAATTACATGGACGAATTTTGGATTTTAACTTGATGAAACATTAAACTTTGTCTCGTTAATTACACGGACGGATTTTGGATTTTTAACTTGACGAATTAGTAAACTTTGTCTTGTTTAATTACATGGATGGATTTTGGATTTTTAGTTGATGACTTGTTTAAACTCTGTGTTTGTCAACTATATGGATACCGTGAACTTTATTTGATGTACTACTTATAATGTTGCATCATTTACGGATCATATGCATGGTATGTACCGATATGGGACGGTGACATACGGAGGGACGGATTAGATCAAAACACTAATTCCAACCCATTCATACATACGGAATGGATTAACTAAAACAGTTAAATCCTACATGGTTTCATATCCTGTCAACTAAAACAGTTGAACGACATACTGGATGGTTGTTTATATTTCTGCGTTAGGATGGATAGGGTTTTAACTAAAACGTTTAAATCCTGATTATATGTTGTGTCTTGACCAATGAACTATTGACCGGCACAACAATGTATTTGGAAGGAACTTATATATATAATTGGAGTAGGGATTTAATTAAAACATTTAAATCCTAATTTTATGTCGTGTCATGGCAACGAATCAGTTGAGCGGCACTACATTGGTTTGGATGGGAATTTATATATTTAAATTATGGTACCGCGATTTGAGCTTGAGTCTCATAGTCGACGATTAGGGTGCGTATATGTAGTATGATGCGTAGCTAGCTATGTTGGTTGAGGTATACCCTGTTAGGCTTAGGTAGTCATGCCCACTCAGGTGCGTATTGCATGTTACCTTCTATTTAGGTTGAGACCCTCAGCATAGTTAGTGAGAGTCCTGTAGTGTGGATATATATTTATCTATTACGGACTATATAGATATGTTTGAGACGTCTAGAATGTATCTGCGTATCGGGTCTCTGTTTGGATTGTAGTTAGGATAGAACTTGTTCGTGGGCCTGACCCACTATTATTTTTCAGGTAACGGACGGTTCCAGGTCTTCGAGCTTATTCGTGCTGAGCAGAGATGACTACTCATTCTACCGACGATGTAGGGGGGGTTCTTCATGGTTTAGCAGTGGACTTCTTTTTAGTTGTTCGCTTTCCAGTATTGGCTTTTGATTAGGGGTCCACCAGATGGATTCCCGAGTTATATTATAATTGGAGAAGTTGGATGTAACAGACTAGTTCTTATTTATAAGATTTATTCTGAAGTTTTTAATAAAGGATTTTCATTTAGTTTCTTTCCAGCGAATTTTATTTACTCATGTTTATCTTAATTATATTCTGTGTTCGATTATTGCTAATTTGATTGATATCCTCAAGTAATCGGGCGTGGGCCTGGCCAACCCGCATCCAGAAATTCGGGGGTATCACAATGTCCCCATAGCAAAACAAGAACAGGTCATCAGCAAAGGAAAGGTGTTTGATCTTTGGATCCTTGCATCTCCAATGATACCTAAAGGAGTGAACTTTGTCCACATAGTTTTTGATGATTGAGGAGAGAGCATCCATTGTGATTTGCAATGATGGAGGATTCTTGAGGTTGGAGGGAGTTGGTTTGGAGAGAGAATTCATGGTTTGAAGTGTTTACATTTCCAAAGAGAGGATCGGAGGACACTTGTCTTGCGGTGTTTGAAACTTCCATAATTCCATCCTTCCTTACTAAGGACAGTCCCTTTTTTATTTCCCTTTTAACATTTGATCATAGCATAATTATACAAAAATACTATGCAACTCAATATTCCAAATTGTTTTTCCCTTTTTTTCACTCTTTTGACTTTGCATTGATAACCCACCTGTTTCATTATTTGCCATCTATAACATAATATAACAAATTAGCTTGGACAATCAAAATGCATGGTACAACATGCGTGTTTGTGAGCAAGTTCGGCACAATGATAGGCTACAAACATGTAATGCATGATACATCCATAAATACTTATATGAATACATAAAAATAAAAAGAATTAAAGTTGCCCCCCATTTCCTATGTCCTCATTATAAGAGTTCATTTCATACCATAAAATCAATAATCTATAAAGAATTAAAATAACCTCAACTTCAATAAACAACAATTCAAAAGGGAAGAAGTATCAATCTTTGAACTATTTATTGGTGCAGATTTATCAATATTTAATCACCTTGTTATTTATCAAGTTTGTCCACAACAGATGGTTTTTTTTTTTTTTTTCTCTAAATGGAGGAAATTTTTTATATAAAATGGTTCAATAAATACAGGGGAGAACCGGGGCATACCCTCGCACGAAAGACGAAGAAGGCAGAGGAAAAACCAACATTAAACGCAAAACACATTAACAACCAATAGAAACACCAACAAAAACCCAAACACTAAAGACACAGTGCAGAGAAAACAACAAAAAATGAACAGAATGAAGAAATGAAAAGAATGAATCCCATCCTTTAGCTAGAAGGAAGTAGATCACAGCGTGATAACTTTCCCAAACTGTCCATGACATCACAAAGAGATTGAACCAAAACCAGGTCTCATGGCCCTCACAAGACACTTACCCACAGAGGCAGTGAACTCGCAAGGCATAAAAAACCACAAAGAAATAAAACAGCGCAACAACATCTATCAAAAAAATAAATAAAGTTTGTCACACTGTCAAGTTTTTTTTCTTTTTTGGACACACTATCAAGTTTGACAAATCAGTCAAATTGCAACAAATTACAAAAACAGAGACACATATCAATTATTATTATTATTATTGTTATTATTTTGATAAATAGAGACATGTACCAAATTCTACAACTTTGAAATTAGAAAAACCATTAAGTGTTATAGATCAATATATAAACACCTTGACAAAAATCCAATGATGATAACTAGCAAGAAAGAGGAGACAATATGTGATAATACACCTTCACAACATCAAAGTGACCGAAAAGTTCATGTCTTGAATATAAAAGGAAATAACATATTCAACAACAATGAGAATACTTTTGCAAAAAAAATGAATTGTGCTATGATGCACTTAAAAAATCATGTCTAACCTGAGTCCGAGTTTTGCAACTTATGAATTGTGTAGAGAATTTGCAGAAATTGAAAAAGCCAGGAAAGATTGAAAGGGAGAAAGATAATATATATAGCTGTACTATTTAGAGAATTGAAAATTTTGTTGAATAGGAATGTTAGTCCTAAATTTTGAATTTTTTTTGCCCGCATATTCCATAGGAATTTTAAACTTTCCATAGAAGACAAAACATGCCAAAACTCTTCATTGGTCAAAGAAATTCTAGAGATTGATAGAGGAACTTACTGAAACGATGATTCGATAATGGATTCTAGGGTAGTGGCAAATTGGGAATGGAGAATTTGATGAAAAATACTATGATTAGGAGTGTAGCAACACTCAAATTCATCTTCAAAATCCTAAATACATAATATTCTCCGGCAGGAATCCAAACACTTGTCGGCTGAGTAACTATGCGGAACTCCGGCAAGAAAGGAGAGCACGCTTCATGCGAATTTTCTTTTTCCCGTTAGTTCCTCATCTCCCCTGGCAGACATAGATTCCTCTTGTAATAAAATTGAGAACGAAGGTTAATTTGGAAAAAAATTATAATTTATAAGGTCAAAATTGTAACAAGCACTCACTTTTTGTAGAATTCCTTCCTTCGCTTAAAAGCCCGTTTTGGAGCCTCCAGAAGCCACGCCAAACACAGCCTTAGTATGTGACTCAGATAGAGGAGATGAAATGAGAAGAATTGAGAAACGGAAACCATAGTTATAATAGTTTTCGACTTAAATCACATCATTTTTTTAAAATGGGTGTTTTTTTCATGCTTCGCCCACTTTCTCTCTCAAGCTCTTGTACCTTAAGTTACATGTCTTGAAATAATAATGAAGAGGAAAGAAAAAAAAAAAAAAAAATAGTTTTATTTTGTCAACAATAAAAGTAAAATAATATATTTTTAATCCTAAATAAGAATTGAATTGTTATATTATTTTTTCGCCAAGAAGAATAGTATATGGCAGAAATGCAATGTGAATGATTCTGTACATGAGAATTCTAGACAGTAATTTGAATTATTATTATTTTTTTGTAAGTAAATTACACATGCATCCATTCGGTACATTGGAGATTCGAACTCTGTTAAGAGGAGGACATACCCCCACGTGGGCTAAGCCCATGGTTGTAGGTAATTTGAATTAATTGAACAACATAGCCAATTAAACTACGGAAAACTGGCAGATTACAGCACAATTACCAACCATATCTCCTAAAACCAAATGGAAAACTTTTGAAGTAGTTTTACAGAAATAACAAATTTTCAGTGGTCGGTCATGTAAAGAAGAAATCCACCACAATAAAGTTCTAATTTATCATCTTTCACATAACTCATCACATCTAAGCTCTGATGTTGATCCACAAATCATGTTGGTTGCAAAAATACTAATGTTTGGAGTATTATCCTTCAGTAATATAAAACCAGTATCAATAACAACCTAGTCAACTCTAATATCATCTAATCTCAGTCTATAAGGTTCATTACCACTAAAAAGCATCCTAAGACCATCTTTTACCTCTTCTATTCCTTCCTCCAGAACTGCACAAACTGGAAAAATAGGAACACCACCAGACAACCTTCTTTTTAATTCTTCATACACTTCTTCAGCCCCCGCCTCATCAATTTTGTTTGCCACTACCATGCATGGTCGATCTGATAAACCCTCTCGATAAAACTCAAGCTCCAAAATTAAATCTTTCAGCTGTTCCCATGGTGGGATTCCTTTTCCACCATCTAATGCAGCAGCCAAATCCAACACATACGCAAGAACCTTTGTGCGCTCTATGTGACGCAAAAAAGCATGCCCAAGTCCACGATTTTCATGAGCACCCCTTATCAGTCCTGGAATGTCGGCCACCGTGAATGAGAAGTCGTCATAATTTAAGTTCCCCAAATTTGGCCTTAAAGTTGTAAAGGCATAATGCCCTACTGTAGGCTTAGCCCTTGATATAGCACCTAGAAGTGTACTTTTACCCGCATTTGGCATCCCTACAAGGCCCACATCGGCAATGCTCTTTAGTTCTAACACGAGAACAACCTCAGAACCTGGTGAACCAATGCAAAGTGATTCAGATTCTTCAACATCGAACTCATCATCCCTTTGGACCCCATGCTTCATAAGATTATAGTTTTTAGGACCTTTTGGAGTGGACACATTACCTAAGCCACCCTCCCCTCCACAGGCAACAACTACCCGTTGACCTGGTTCTGTTAATTCTGCAATATTGTATTGGATATGTTCATCTTCCTCCAGTTCTTCTTCGCACTCTGCTTCGGACATATCACCATCAGCCTCAAGGCATTTCCACTCAACCACACCTTGTTCTTCTTCCTTCCACGAGTTTAAGCCTTCTGTTCGAGCTCTGTACTTCTTACAAGAAGGAGAAGAACGAGGCAGAGATTTAATCAATGAAGCTTGAGTGGCTTGTTTCACACTACTTGATTGCATCACAGTTTTCCCAGTACAAAAAGATGAACCATCAATGAAATCCATGGTTTCTACTACCTCTGCCCCAATTGTGTTAGTGGAAGTAGATTGCTGAGTGGATTCAGATGGATCGACCTCAAGTGTACCTGGAATTTCCCAAGGATCTAAAGCTTTGGAGGAACTCTTTTCAGCCAAGGATGGAGTTTCACCCCCTACAAGATGAATTACAGTGCCAACAGGAACTTGGACAACCTACCGCACAAGAAAGTCCTCAATGAATTAGGGTGTTCTAGAATCCAAAGGAGAAAAAAATCTGTTCACTTCTTGTTTAATTAAATGGCAAAAATAAAATAAAATAAAATAAAAGTGAGATGATGGAATCTAGCAAGGTAAACACAGAGCTAATGAATTTTGACCTTGTCCTCCCCTCGGCTTCCTATTTTATTTTTTGAAGTTCCATGTCCCCCCCTCTTTGCATTCTGCAGGACACCACAATTATTATACCATCAACTATAATTTCATATATGAAATGAGCTAATAATGGTGGAGAAGAGGAAAGATTAACATACAATGTGATGTTGCAGACTGCTAAGGTCCCACAATGCAGGTGAACATTCTAGTATCACATCACCCCCTCTTCCACCTTTCCCACCTACATTTAATCCACATATTGATGAAAAATAGGCAAGGAGCCAATAGAATTAAGATTACTATTTTTAAGTACTCTAAAAAATTTCTGAATGAAATTGGATTAACAAAGAAAAAGAAAAAAGGAAAAAGATACATGAAATCGATAAATAAGGCATAACCATGACAAACAATTATATTATGAAAAAAAAAAAAAGAATTCTGAACAATTAAGTGGATTAGATTCATTAATTAGATTGAACAAATGAACGAAAAATAAAACATCATCTGATTGTATAATGATTGTAATTATGTTAGAGCCACCCACCATCAGGTTTACCACGGCGTTCATGTCGGCTACGGCGAAAGCTGGTACAACCATTGCCGCCATCACCTCCTTTAGCCCATAGCCTAAACCGGTCCACCATTTTTCGCTCCTGCAACAAACCAAAGAAAACTATATTAATAAAGCAAGAATATTTAATAAACATATACGTGTATGTGTGTGTATAGAGAGAGAGAGAGAGAGAGAGAGAGAACCTGTAGAGGAGCAAGCTTTGACTTTGCGAAAGGAGCATCTGAGAAAGAATGGGATTGGAGAAGCCATGTTGATTTTGAGAATTTTCTCAAAGAGTCTAAATGCCAAAGGGAATTTGCACAACGTAACAACATCTCGTTTTTCCTCAACTCTTTAGGTTCCCCAAAACATGTTAATTAAAGGCTCTACTAAGTCCCAAAATTCACTTTACAGTACTTTTAGTTTATCCAGACGATTGTAGCCCTCCCTAGGAAATTTAAAAAATAAAATCAAAAATCAAAAACAGAAAGAAAGTAAAAGAAAAGAAAAACGCAGATGCTAGTACTGGGCGTGCTGGTCTAGGAGGCCTATTTCAAGGAATGTTATGATTACATGATATAAATATGCAGTTCCAAGCAAGGTTCTTATGCATAGACCACATAAATGTCTCAATTCCTTATAAGTCCCATTCAAGTTGACTTGACTTGAGCCGTTCAAATTCTTCATTGCATTACTAATAGTCTGAAACACAGAAATAAAAAAAATTAAGCTTAAATAATAATATTTAAAAATGAGAAAGAATACACCTACCCCCTTCTCAGATAGAGAGAGAGTACTAAATCCTATAAACATTTGAAAATGCATTCATACGCAAAATAAACTCAATAAATAATATTTTTAATGAAAGAAATTGATCTTGTCAGTCTTACATAACTACACACCCCTTCTCTCTTCCTCTCCACGACACCTACCATCACCAAGTAGCAAAATGAAGACTAACAATTAATCTCTCAATCAAACTACCAACAACACAATTAATAAGCAATATTGAATAAAGAAAAATTAAACCCATATATATATATATAATATATCAACACAGTTATATGAAGCAAGACAACCATAGAACTCCACAAACCAAGCATTAAAAAAAATTGAAAAATGATGAGCATCAATCATTATCATCCCAATCGCTTAGAACTCCACAAATTCGGAACTTTAAAATAAAATAAAAAAACAAAAAAAAAACCATGAAGAATATCATCATCCCAGTTCTCATTCAAATTGACTCCATAGTTCACCAATTAATCACCAATTTTCATCTTCTTCTTCACAAGCTTCAAACCCATTTTCATCTTCTTCTTCCCAGGCTTCAAATCCATCAATCCCCCGATTCACCAAGAGAATACAAAGCTATAGGGAGAAAGAGAGAGAGACCTACCTTTATGTCACCTCTGGAGTCCAGGACGGTGCAATGGATTGTCATTGTAGATCTGTGTAGTTGCAGAAGTGCGGCTGTGTTTTTGGGTTTTCTCATTGACCCTTTAACAGCTTTATAATCCAATGGGTGAGATGAAACATCATATATCCATGGCTGAGATGAGAATATGATTTGGGCTAGCGGACTGTTTAATTAAATGGACTTTGTTTGTTAATGGGGCTTATAAAAACCAAGTATTAATTCCGCCAGTATAAAATATATATATTTGGGCTACACTTATATATATGGGTTGGGGTTTTATATATTATAATTTAAATATAATATATTTTTATATAAATGAGCCTGTTCACAAGCTCACGAGCCGAGCTTTTAACAAGCTGAGCCCAAGCTATTCATGAACAACTCGGTTCATTTTCAGCCCTAGGCGACGGTGGTTGGTGGGGAAAATGTCCAAAGGTTTAGGTTCATAAGTTTTGATGGCTGCAAAAATAACCCATCGGCTTTGGATTAATTGATATACATACACACACTGGTTGGTGAAGAGAAATACTGATGGTGGTGGTGACAGTGAATGGAAAGATATGGTGGCGGCGACTGTGGCTGATTAAATATGGTGGCAGCCGGTGGATAGAGGGGGGGGGGGGGGGGGGGGGGGGGGGGAGTATGGGTGGGGGAGTGGGTAAGAGACAGGTCGTCATAGTTTTATCCAAATTTAATTAGGGCAAACCTCAAGTGAGGTCAGTGTATTTAACCCTATATAAGAATACTTAGTCAAAACATGGTTGTCAGCAGCACCTTACGTCAAAATATTTATTCATTGAGAAACTATGTATAATTAGGAGGTTTGAATTATGATATGAAAAAAAATAATAATAATAAAAATAAATAAATAAATAAAGTGGAAGAAGAAAGAGCAGGGAATTGGTTTGGCTGACCCCATTCGATTGCAATCAAGGCATTGATGATGATGACAACAACAATAATAGTTGCCAATACCTAAAAATTATGAAAAATAAAAATAAAAATAAAAAAATTTACTGACTCTAAATTTACTCCAAAAGTTCAACCAAGGGTTCTACTTCAAAATTAATTGACCTGAAACGTACTACATAGTGTTTGTGTCTAGGAAGAAAATTAAGGAAAAGGGAAGGGAAGGGAAGGGCAGTATTTAATTTAGGTTTTTACCAAAATCATATGTTCTTAGGCTGTTCAGGAAGATTTTTAACGCAAACAATGCTAGCAAAGATTCAAAATTTCATTTTTATATGAAATTTCCAAATGCAAATGTTAATACTGCTGGACTGTTTTAAGGAAATCTAGAAGTATTTGTATCCACAATAACATTTATCTTGAAGAGAAATGTTAAAAAAGTTTTATACCCCTCGTTTGAATTTATCCAAAATCACACCTTTCCACCCTTGCACATGCCACAAACCCCTTCTTATATTCACAATAGTGCTCAACCTTATACAATCATTCACTCAATTCAAACTACTTTTTCAAGAATTTCAACAAACAAGACAAGAAAAAAAAAAAATTCTTCTCCTTTTTTGATTGCTAAATAACAAAGCGAAAATTAAACCTTTGCTAAGCCCATTTTGATTGCTAAGAAAATCAGCAGACATAAACCCTCAAAAAAAAAAATTCCCTTCAACTGCCGCCTGGCGATCTAATAATTATGATGCAGTTCTTTGGAGGGTTTATGTCTGCTGATTTTCTTAGCATTTCCTTAATTAAGCTTCTAACAAAAACTGGCACATTTGAGAGATTCAGAAGAAACTCCACGAATCAAATAATTCATGAATCAAATTGAGAACGAATTGAAATGAAACTAGTATATTACAACAAAAGGAAAGCTTTTGTACCTAACATTAAAACCCTAGCCTCTAAAACCCAAAATTCCAAATTCCTTCGGGTATTATACATACGACCTATATATTTGGCATTGGATATTACATACGAATATATAGAGATGAAAGAGACAAATAAATGTACCAAATAGAATGTAGCTTCGCTTCAATTCGCAACGTGACGGCCGTGAAGTAGAGAGAGAGAGTGGTGAAGTAGTTTAAGAGAGAGAGAGAGATAGGAGAACCAGGTCGTGTGAGAAAGGGGAGGCGGGCTTTTAGCGGCGGGCTTTTCAATCAATATTTTACGCACCAAGACCTCAAACGGATGTGTTCCGACCGCTGCGACTGCGTTGCCATAGGGCATGTAACCGGATTCTGAGTTGAGTGTCCCGGGTTAACGGCTCGAGAATACTCCGTTAAACCTGGATATTTGTTTCGCTCTCTGGCCAGGCTTGTCCTTAGGTTGGGTTTGTTATAGCCTTCTATTGGGCTTGGGTCACCGGAATAATGGTTTGTAATGGTCCAAGGCCTTTTTGTTTTCTCTGTAATTATTTTTCTTATTAATATACAAACTTGCTTAATCTTTCTAAAAAAACAAAGGGACATTTCTTTTGGCTTTTCTTTTTCCTTAAACAAAAAAAATTTAAGCTCGGAGAGATTAGAATAATTCATTAAAAATAAATAAAAAAATTATACTTGTGGATTTGGGAAGATAGTGCAAAAGCAATGCAGAGGGCAAGATGAACAGTACTGTGGAGTGGTGTAGGCTACCCATCTAAGTCTGAAAAACCTAATTCACCGGCAACAACAACAATACTGTCAAATCAAATATCGCGTCAAAGTCATCTCTATTTTCTTTTCTTTTCTCATTCCCATTCAAAAATTGTGTGTGCATGTGTTAAGTGGCAATGGGCAGACTGACGAGACCTACTTGTTTGAATACCTTATCATTTTTGTATGTACGCACTCCTCCTATACATGTATACGTGTTCAAGCCACCCATGACCCAATAATCTTATGACTTTTGTCATATCTTCTTGGCCAACTTCTCTAACCTGATCCACAAATTAACCAATAAAAAATGGAATGAATTATGGAGCTACAAACATAGAAAATTGATAATCTTGACAGCATTCCAAGGGTGAAAACTCCCCCCTTCATTCCCTGAGTTATATTACTCCATCTATCACATATTAGTTGTTCATATAAAAAAATTTAACTCGCTGTCACTTTTTATCTTTGAGTCATTTAAAATTATTTTTTTATCATATTCCTTTTATATACTTATATACTATCTATGTGCCATATTAGATGTCCCCTTTGAAAACTTTAACTCATAAAAATTGTAAGTCAAACTTTTTGAGGTGGACATCTAATGTGGACGGAGGTAGTAGATAAGTGAATCTAATAGATGAGGACACAAGTTTTTAGTGAGGAATTTCTCAATAGAGATTTGTTCTTAAAAATGTAGGAGCATTTTCTTTTGTCTCAAACTTTCAATTCACTTATGATGCAGGAATGGAATGAAATGTCAATTTCAATTATTTTTTTTTATTTGAAATACAATTTAAAATGAGAAACAACTAAACATATGGAATGACTCTAAATAATCGTTCCATTCCCAAATAATTTTTTTAAAAAATATTAAGTTCCAAAATAACTCTCATATTCTAAGTTTAAAAACTACCACCACCACTAATGCAACCACCTTCCACCACTGCAACTTCCATTGCCTTTCACCACCATCATTATCACCAAGACCATCACCATTACCACCACCACTGCCACTTCTGTCACCACCATTGTCACCTTCCACCACCACCACATACACCATTGCCACCTTCAACCACCATCATCACACTGTTGCTGCCTCCACTGCCTTTTACTGCCACCGTCGTCACCACCACTGCCTTCCACCACCACCATCGTCACTTCCCTTGCCTTCCACCCCCACCTACACCACTTTTGCACCATACCACCACCGCACCACTATCACCGCTTTCCACCAACACCACTACCACTACCGTCGCCGCCGACGCCTTCCAACACCTCTACCGCTTCCACCTCCACTACCTTTTTCACTGCCATCTAGCACCACCACCATTTTGTTTAAAAAAAATTATAGAAGAATGTTATTTTATTAATTTAATTTATTTGCTATTAAGAGGAATATTTTGGATAATTAAATTTAATTTCATTATATTTTAAATTTTAAATTGGTCCAACTAAACACTAAAATTGTTATTATTATTTCATTCTTACATATTTCATATTTGCAACAAAAATGTTAATGACCATTCGATTATATTTCCATTTTCATTCTATTCCATTTTGCATTCCATTCTATCATGCACACCAAACACGACATTAGTCCCTATTTTCATTTTTGTTGGTCTCAATTTAATTGTTTTATTTGAAATGTCAATGTAAGATGATTGATTCTTCTTTAAAACATCATATAAGTAAAAACATGCGTTATTTGATTGAAATTAAGTAATGAATATATTTAATAGCTACTAATGAGAAAAATATATATATTTAATATATAGCTAAATTTTTAGTGTTAGAAATTTTTAAGTGGTAATTAAAAATGACATTTAAAAAAAAAAAAATTTAACCATTCTGGATTGAGTAATAAATAACATTTTTATCCCTTAAAATTTTTATGTTATTTTAAATAAAATTCAAATTGCGTTAATTAAGTAAACATTTAATCCATTCAAAATCAAATGTTAAATTGAATTATCAAACAACAATTTAGTTCAAATTCTTCTTAGGTTATTTTTCTTAACGATAGTCTCTAACAATAATTGATCGGGTTTCTATCCTTTTTCCAAGAATAATTAAATTGGAAAGGTAATACTGATAGATTATTTCAGGTCTCAATAAGAGACGGGTGAAATTCTGTGGACACTACCACATTCTTCATCCTCTTGGAATGGGGAGAGACTAGAGAGGTCTCACACTCTCTCACTCACCTTCTTTTATACGCTAAAATTTAAATGGATAGAGTGTCATTAATTTGGAGATTAAGAAAAGACTATTTTATTATGGGTAGCCTAGACTAACCTTGAATTAGGGGTAGAAAATTTTCGGAGTTAACTGCAATACCATCATTGTCATGTCAAAGTTATGTCAACTTATTATTTGGCGAGAGTTGCAAAATTTATTGACAAAGTGAGCAAAATTCTTAATAAAATAACATCAGCAAAACACTCTATCAATTGATATATACTGTATGATTCATTAACTGCCAAAAATAAAAATAAAATTTATAATACTCCTATGATTTAGGATAAATAATTCTTCATATCTCACTAAAATTTACTAAAAAGATAAGCCTTATTATATAACTCTATATGTGTATATCATAATCACATTAGACTCAAACTGGACTTAAAAAAAAAAAAAACCTTAACAAAATAAATAAATAAAATAAAATAAAAATCCAAAAAATCATTTAGTCAAATTTATGGTATGTGGAATTTTAGATCTGCTTCCCCCAAAACTTGCATGTGCGTTCAGACAGTCCAGCATTGGCTCAACAAACAATATGACAATAATTGAAGGATGTCCAAGTAATTCAGGAGGGTCAGGTTTGGAAGAAGTTAATATGTATAGTGATAAAGACTTGTATATAGGGACTATGACTATGCTCAACATAGTCATAGAGAAATCAATGCACTGATCATCTAATCCCTCCCACAGCGGAATACATAGAGAAAAGAGTAGAAAACAACAACCACATTGCGGTCATCGAAGCAAACCGTGTCCTTTCCCTTTCCATCTTCCCTCTGAAAAGAGTGGAAAGGAGTGGAAAGCGGAAACCATCATTTTAGTACTCATCACATGTTGCACTCAATCTCTTTCCCTGCAATTGTCCATCCCCTATCCACCCCATCCACATTCCATGCACACAATCAGAATTCACATATATATAGAGACTAATATATATGCATATATAGTAAAAATACGTTATATATATATGTATATATCACAAGTCTAGAGCATGATAATTAAGGACATGAACTAATAATATTAAATAATTAAACACCAAAAGAAAAAAGAAAAAATATAGTACTATAATATAACATTGTAATTAACTTCTTTTCCATTTAAAGAAGCTCATCTTAATTACAGCTTATGGTCATATTTAGTCTATCTCTTGCAATGCAACTCTAGAGGGAGGGGGGGAGAGAGAGATGGGGATTTGGCTTTAACATGATGAAAGCAAATGATGAATATAAACAAAGTTAAAAGCAATGCAAACAAACACTAACCTAAAGATGATATTATATGTGTGTGTGTGTTTTTTGAGTTCTTCAAGGCATGAAGAGCTTGTTGCCACACTTGCAACGCCAAGCTTCTGGGTAGTACTCAAGTGGCATGCTCAAACCGGGTTGAATCGGCACGTGAACCGGTTTACACGGCGAGCAAATCCCACACTTGGATCTACACGTGGGTGGTGACGATCCAGGCCCCCTGAGTCGCCTCTGAGTCAAAACTCCCCCAAAACTCTCCCACCCACTTGCCCTTTTCGCCTCCACTTTCAGTACTCCAACACCTAAAACACACACAAACGAAACGAGTCATACCGAGTTGTATAGAATTTTGATAGCTAGTCCTGATTGTACTCACCGAGTTGCTGAGTTGGGTTGAGCTCACTAATTGCCGAGGCAGACGCGAACAAGAGAAAAGCTAAAGCAGTGACCGTAGCAAAGGAGAGCCGCCGCCGGCGTTGCTGGTGGCAGTGGCGGCGGCGTAATACGCCCATCGCCGAGGTGAGGAGTGCGCAAGATAGCAAGATAATATGAGAAAGTTGCTTAAAAGGCTTTGTTTGAAGAATGAGGAAACTGAGAAGTGTGATGCTATTATTGCCATTATTGCCTGTGAGCGTGTGAGTCCAAGTCAAAGACACTGCTTACACCAAAACAAGAGAGAGAAAGTCTAGAGAGAGAAAGACAGATTTGTTTGTTCTACTAATTTTTTAGGAGAAAAAAAGGTAGGGAAGTGGGACCCAACCTAGGGGGTTGATTGATTGTTCTGTACTGTAAAAACTGTCCTTGATGATACAAACTATTACGAATACGCCATAAAGAGGCTTGTGAATGGTGGTATAAGAATTCGAATGAGAATGAAAAAGGGTACAAACTTATGTAAATTGAGTAATAAGGGACTGAAATGTAATATTTCCAAAAGTGGAGGGGTGTTCAGGGTACATAAAAGAGAAGTACACGTGTGGTAACGTACGTGTGGGGGGAAAATGGTGGGGATGGTTGTCTCAAACGAGACGAACATCTAAGTCAAGAAAACGGAAACACCCACCATTATTGAGACTCTCTCTCTCCCTCTATACGTATAGGTTTTTTCTCCCTCTCTCTCTATATAGGCCTATAATTTTTCTTGTTTCTTTCTCTAACATGGAGGACTGTCTGGGGCCGAGGAGTCTCAACGAATCCACTGGTGAGTACGATGGGCTCATTAATTTTTAAGTGGGTCCTAGAGAAAAAGATAGGAGAGGGACACATCAAACCAAAAATCAACAACAAAACGTTTGTTCTCGTAGATAAAATAGTATAAAAATAGTATTGTTGCGGTAAATTAATGTAAACGGCAGTTGTCATAAATTAAAGTGAGGTTTTTTATACGAGTGCGGGCCTGGAGTGGGTTTATTGGGTTTGGGTTTAGTAGGGTTTCAGTTGGCAATTAAGGCGGAATCAGAGATCATGGACCAGACTACTAGTACATGGGTCATATATGTTTTGGGCAGAATATATATATACACACACATGTATATTGGTTTGGGTCATAAATAGTAATGCTGGCAAATGCTAGATAGCCTAGCAAATCTGAAACGGTGTGGTGCAGTTAATGCTCCGCAAAGTTTTGTTTTAGAAGGAATTGAATTTCACCAATCAAAATATATATTTCAAGTAATATGAATCAATATATATATATATATGATAAGATATATTAAAGTCTTTATTATTTGAGTGGTCCGGTGGAGAGAGCAAAAGTCTGGTTACTTTTCCTACATTATTGACTGGAATAGTGTAATTATACTGAAAAAGTTTCAACCCTACTAGGATAGGCTGAGAAAGTTGCTATCGGATGATGCGATTCAGTTGACATTGGATCCAACTTGCTGTGTTCCTAGAATAAAATCCAAAATTGCCACCAAGTTTATATTATATGTATATAGATAATGCTTTCTGATTTGTGAGTGAAATAAAGAAAAGATGCCTTCTAATTGGGCCCAATTTTAAGCTTCTGGCTTCTTAATTCTTTGCTTTTTCACTTGACGGGCCTATTGGGCTTACCGTGTAAGTTAGTGGCCCTTACTTCTGCTCTAAGGATCATGATCATCAGCATTTATGTTTCTATCATCCTTAGGGAACAGATCAGAAATATATATCAATGGAATATATATCAAATGAATATATTTTTTCTGAATTAAAAAAATAAAAAATAATAAAAATTAAATTAAAAAAAACATTCCTTTTATTATTACCACAATAAAAAAAAATAAAAAAAATTAACAAATTAAAAATTAACAAAAAAAATTAAAAATTAAAAATTAAATAAAAAAACTTTATTATAACCACAATAATATATATTTTTTTCTTTTTATTGTTAAACAACATTCCTTCTTACATGTTTTTCTGAATTTGATATCACTGTTGTTATTACGCGAGTATAGATAAAGGGATATTTGAAAGCAATAATTGGCTTCAACAAGTGATAATGGATAAAAATAGTAGCATTCAATTAAAGTTAGACACGTTAGCCAACCTTTCAACTCCAACTTGCTTTTTGAAATTCTCTATTGATTTGGTTCCATTTCTACATTCATCGTGAAGCTCCATTAAAACTATTAGTTTATAGAAGAACTATTATTTTAACTTAAACATCTCCAAAAGTTTGTATCCACGTATTAGTAATGCTTAACTTTTATATTCAATGAGCTAATCATTTTACATCTCACAGACTCGCAGTATGAGCCTAGCATGTTCTATTGACTTTTGTCTGGTGCACCTTTTTCACCTACTCAAACAGCTGATTTGGATTGTTACTGCAGGAGACAAATACCCAACTACCCCCCCCCCCCCTAAAAAAAAAAAAAAAAAAAAAAAACTAACCTTAGTATTTAAATCTCTTTAATTTAGTCTATCTGAATCCTAGATTTATATGTCTTAATCTTTCACTTTCTTTTTTTCTTGAATAATATATGACAAAAAATTACTTAATAATTTCTCAAAATCAAGATAAATCTACCCTTCTCACACCTTCCTCCAAAAAATTGTGCATCTAAAATGTGGGACATGATAGTTCTTTTATTAACATAGTGGACCCTACATTGTTATAACAACATAACTTGATTAATGCATATGATAATATTTAGGTGCCTGGATATTTTTGTGACATGTTTTACTTTTTTCAAGCCCACCACCAACCAAAAGCTCTTTCGGGTGCAAAGGGCTTCGGTTGGTTTTGATATTTTCCCACAATGGATATACAATAATTAATGTCCTTGTAGTTTAAAAAAAAAATATTGTTCCAATTGTGCTTTTTTGTCTCTCTAAATTTGACAAATACAAACCGAGGCCACATTTAATATAAATTAAATTAAATTCCATTTATTATAAAAGCTATTTTCATGTTCAATTTTAAAATTTTATTTATTTTTTATTTTTTTTAAAAAAAAAAACGTGCGCTGACCATTTGACCCTCAGGCTACTGAATGGCATGTGCCAAAATCCGGAGTGTAGCTAATCCTTACAGAAAAGAACAACAGAAAAATGCTGCTGCCAAACGACTTTCCCAAAGGAGAAAGAGATGAGGAGCAATGAAAAAACCACTGGCTTCTTTTTTGTATCATCAGCTTCCTACCTATACATACACACAAAAACTCATATATGTATTCTGTATATGTTATTATCACGTATTTATAAATAGATTAATCTCTGTTCGTATCAGCCCTTTTTTCTCTAAGCTTTTCCTTCTCTATATATCCAAAACTTGTTCCAATTTCTTATCTCCATTTCTTTGATTGCCAGTCCTCTCTCTGTGTCTTTTTCTCCTAGTAAACTAAATGTTAGTTTTTTTTTTTTTTTTCCTTATTTGAAGTTCATACAGAACTTCATTGGCCATATTAGGCCTGTAGATCAGACATATTAGACACCATATATATTGAAATTAATATCAAACATAGAAGAAAATCAAAGCAGAACATCATAAACATTTGATATTACTTGCACAAATTCCAAATATGAACCCTTTAGGCTCAATGAAGGAGAAGTTTCTGGAATCGAGTTCGAAATATGCCGGTGAGCCACTGAGGGATGTTCCTCAACCATTGGAGGGACTTCATGATGAAGGACCCGCTCCTTTCCTCACCAAAACCTACGATTTTGTCGATGACCCGAACACGGATCATGTTGTTTCTTGGAGCAGAGGAAACAACAGTTTTGTTGTCTGGGAACCCCAGACCTTTGCCATCAATCTCCTTCCCAAGTTCTTCAAGCATAACAATTTTTCAAGCTTTGTCAGGCAGCTCAACACTTATGTAAGTACTAGCTCAAGAAATAGAGGATAATTGTTTGATATATATATTTTTATGTAGGGTTATCTTGGTTTGACTTTTTTCTTTTTTTTAATGGTCATGAAGTAGCTAGAATGTTTAATTTAATCTTTATATGTGTCTGTTGCTAGTACAATAGATTAAATTGGTACTCTCTTTTTTTTCTTTGCTTAATGGTGTTTCTTTCCGTAGGCACTCGTTTGTTTAATGATTTCCAAAAAGAAAGTGAGAGATCAGATAACTAAAATATCTGCAGCACTGACATGCTTGTATATATATATATGTTCCATTATTCATCAAATTTCAATATGTTCTTTTTTATCATCCATGTGACTTGTGGGCTTCTTTATTTGGAATGACTAAATTGCAAAAAAAAAATAAATAAATAAATAAAAATGGTATGACTATCAATTCAGTGTTGCATAGAAATCATTGGTTTTGTTGATCAAAGGGTAAAGCAAGGTGAATGTGCAGGGCTTTAGAAAGGTTGATCCAGATAGGTTGGAGTTTGCTAATGAAGCATTTTTGAGAGGACAAAAGCATCTTCTGAAGAACATTAATAGGAGGAGAAAAACAGTACCTTCCCATCATCACAAGACTTCACAGGCTCCACCAGACCCTTGTGTTGAAGTAGGTCAGTTTGGACTGGATGTGGAAGTTGCACGGTTGAGGCGAGACAAGCATGTTCTAATGGAGGAGTTGGTGAAACATAGACAGCAACAGCAGGATACTGGAGCTTACCTCAAAGCAATGGATGAAAGACTAAAAGCCGCAGAGATGAAACAGCAAAAGATGAAGAGTTTCGTGGCAAGACTAATACAGAATCCGAGTTTTGTACAGCAATTACTCCAACAAAATGATATGAGAAAAGAGATTGAGGAAGCTATTGGTAAGAAGAGGAGGAAGCAAATCCAGCAAGCTCCAAGCAATGAAAGAGGCGACGAAATAGGCCAAGTTGGGATGGAAAGAACTCAGATTAAAGTAGAACCTCAAGATTATGGTGACCTTTCCGGATTCCATGATTTTGGGCTGGAGAAAATTGCTAGTGATGAAGTGCTTGATGAGGGATTTTGGGAAAATTTAATGAATGGGGAGATTGAAGAAGCAATTGGTTTACTGGATGGTGAAGTAGAAGAAGAAGAAGAAGATGTTGATATTTTAGCTGAGCAGCTTGGTATATTGGATTCTATTCCAAGATAGTGTATAGTTTATTCTAGCTTGTTAATTTTATGTTTGTCTGCTTCAATAATCTGGTTAGGAGACATTAATATTTCTTGTGTTCTTTCTGATTTGTGTTTTTAAGAAAATTATTATAATTCATCTTCGGAAGAACGAAGCAATTCCAAGAGTAAAGAAATGAAACAATGTAAGCTTCTTTCACAACGGATTTTAGGTTCCTTTGGTGGAGATTGTTCGGATATTTGAATATTATTAATGTTTATAGTCTTGTTCGTAATTCAAAATCCCATCTACTCCTTAATTTGGTTATTTATGTGTGTGTAATGCAGTCTACAATCGATTAAAGAAGCTGATCTTTAAGATTGATGTTTATTTAACTTGATCTAATGACGATCTAATGACAAGGTGGGACACGTTTGTGTTTTAGAGTTCAAGAAACGAAAGTTCTCTGCTTAAAGACTATAGACTTGTTGTAATATAGATTTTCAACTCCAGGTTAGTGACGTGTGTTTGTGTAGGTAACTGAAGTCATTTCAATTTTTTTCTTCATTTACAGTATAGCACAAACTAGACCATTTGAGATCCAATCCTATCACACACACACTCTCTATCTAAAGCAATTAAGCAAAAGACTGACTTTGAACTCTGAAGAGTTCTTTGATGGCCTTTCATTGGCACTCGAGACCAGACAACCAGTAAGAGCAAAACAAGAGAGAGGGTGTCACAACATACACGTCCCGGTCCCGAATCTTAAAGGAGGTTTGATCACCCCTTTCCTTTTTTAATGGAGAAATGGACAAAAGCTGGGGCATTTGCTTCTAGGTAACGGACTGGAATTGAATTGGATCACATAAGATGTTCATTTTGTCTGTCTGTTAAAGGGTTAGGGTTGCACATGCTGCTCATGTACATAGTCACAGTGTAGGTGTATAGTTGGCATGTCTTATGAGTCCGTAAAGTGCATTACTATGAATGTTCTTCCTACACGACATTTTTTAAAATAAATTTCATTCAATTTCAATTCTGAAACACCAATTCAGTGCTCTCAAACATAAGTAACAATTCTAAGACTAGAGTCCACTTACTATTACACTAAACAACGACTTCTTGTGTGTTTTTTTTTCCTTCCGGAGCCATTTTGCTTACCATACTTGAAGCAACCTCCCAAAAGATCTCGAGCACATTTCAATATTTCGCTTTCCTAGAAAATTTACAGCTAAAGTATGGTCCCATAATTGAAATTTGGTTGAATGACATTGGGAGGCAATCTTCGAACATTGGCATGTTATCTACTTATCGAGAATTAATCATCTTTCAAACAACCTTGACTATGTCTATAAATCATCAATGACACTGCTGGTACCAACTCAGAATCTACAATGTCCAAGGATCCATCGGGCCCATTCCAAGTCTCCCCAGCAGAGCCCATTTGGTCACTCTTAAAGCAAAATGGTGTAAGCATGTTGTGTTTGGGAAGTTGAATTTGTGCTTTGAATTTGAGATTTGAAGAATAAATTTTAATTAAATTTATTTTAATTTTAAATTCAAACCTCAGAATCGGTGCTCCTAAACATAATAATAAAGTAAATTTCATTGACCTTCGTTGAAGTTTGAACAAATTACACACTAATAGACCATTTAATTTTTGAAAAATAATATTTTTGACAACAAGTTTATACTGACAAAAAACCGACATCCATGCGGCACTAAGCTATTAGTTTTCTTTGACCAAACTTTCTCCCTACATTCTTAATTTTTCCGGCAACGATGTGCCCGTGGCTCTCTCTGACTCCCTGCTTCCTCTCTCCCCCTGCATTGTCAAATTTTCAATTTTTTCAAACTTTCTCTCACTCCTTTGCACAACCCTCTACTCTCTTTTCTGATTTTGGGCTCATCCCTTTTCTTCTTAATTGAAAATTTGAAAAAGATCTAATATGTTTTCTTTGGATTACCGGCCCCAAAAATCAATTTTTTTATTTTATGCTTTCAAATGGAGTTCCACGTGAATATAGTTCTTGTTCACTCTCTCACTCCATCCGTGTGTCTTACGTCAACAAGGGCATATCAAAATAGAAATTTTTGCAGAAACTTTATATCCATGGCAACAAGAATTGGATATTGACAATATTTTGTAAAATATATTGATAAATAATAACTGATTCAGAAACACTAACCCTAAATTGATCGACAAATTGTGAGATATGCAAATTGGAAAGGAAAAAAGTGGTTATAAAGAATTGCATATTTCAAAATTTCGGCAAGTAGTGATTTTTCAAATGCAAGAAACAAGAAAATGGAGATGAATAGTTGCCGATGCTTCTTGTAAAGATGAAGATGAATGGTGCTGATATATGGATTTTAAGGTGCCCATAGTTAGAAAGCCACGTAAGAGTCGTATTTTGTTGATTGTTTATTAGTTGATCGAAATAAAAGCACTCTTCATTTTTATTACCTTAACCTTTCTTAAATCTGCTTGTGGCTACCAAAAAGTGACTTTTAATGTGAAAAGTCAGTAATACTTTTATACTACTGTAATAATATACAACATTGTATTCCAATGTATAAAACTAATGTTGTCTATAAGGGAAGGGCAATTATCATTTATAAAATTTGGTCAACAAGTCTATGGCAAAAAAATTATAGGAGTGTCCTTAAGCATACGCATCAAATCTGAGGGAAGTGAATGTAATAAAAAATGAACCATATATTCATTTGTAATTTGTTCAAAACTCAAGAAAGTTTAGTGTAATTTACTTATAAAAATATTTACTCATACGAAAATTAAAATACTGGACAAATTTGTCCTTTACAAATTAAAAGAAAGGATATATTAAATTGACATTTAGGCTTAGTTTGTTTGGACGTAAAATATTTTTTAGGAAATATTTTTTATTTTATGGTGTTTAGTTGTCGTAAAATATTTACGAATAAAAAAATATATATTAAAATTTAACAAAAATTATTTATCCATCAATTTTTGAAATTTTCGGTAAGTTATTTTATATATCCTGCCCGATAGACTTAACCTCAACCACGATGTAAAAGTAAAAAAAATATTTTACCACAAAAAGAAAAATATTTATCGAAAGGAATATTTTACGTCAAAAACAAACGGAGGCTATTAAAAAATATAACATAAATTACAAATGAGTTTTATGGTCCAATAACATTTTCCACTTATGTTAATAATATTTGTTTAGAATGACATTTTTGACATTAAAATATGTGTATGGTTAATTAAATTAAAATCTATTTTAAATGTGAGAGCAAATTAGTAGTACCGCATGTAATGAGACAGGGTCTGCAATTTATAACACCCTAATTTCATTTCATTTTATAGTGCTGTTTTGTTTTTCTTGTCAAAAACGCGAAGCTTTTGAGTATTATTAGAAACCTGGAATGAAAACTATGGAGAGGGGAGAGAGAAATAGGTGGTCGAAGATCTGCATGTTGGTAGTGCTTCAACTGTTGGGCTCCGTTCGCAATCTCTCGGCTCTTTCGATTACAGTGAACGACGTCGAATGTGTGTACGAGTACGTGCTATATGAAGGCGACACCATTTCCGGGAACTTCGTCGTCGTCGATCACGACGTGTTCTGGAGCTCCGATCACCCCGGCATTGATTTCACCGTAAGCCAACGCTCTCTCTGTCTCTCGTGATCTCCGCTTAATCGTTTTGATCTATTGAATCGAATCCGTGTAACTGGATCTTTGTGTTTGATATTCGTGTTTGTTTTCTTTAATTTTTTTTGTTTTTGTTTTTGTTTCGTTTTGGAAAAATAATTGATTCATTTAGTGTTCTGGTTTGATTTGTTCTAATTTCTGCGTTAAATTTAAGATTTTCTGCAACTGAAGTGCTGAATTAATTGTCCTTGATTGATGCATGTTGTAGAGACTCGAATTAGCTTGATTTTTTTTTTCTTCTTTTATATGTCTCTTAATTTGCAGATACGATAATCTATTGCTTGAATTTATCCTCTAGAATTCTATTGAATATGAAAGCATAAATCACTGGGAAATGGTCTTCTTTTTAATAGTTTTTTTGTGGATGAAATGAGCATTAATCAAATTTGTTGGATATATAATAATATTTAATAGTTTTAATTCCTGCGTGTCCGAATTCTATTTTTTCTTTGGATTTTTTTGTTTTATTGTGTATCCGTGTCTCATTTCCATATTTGTGCTTCATAGATGAGTACAGAATGGAGCAATGTTGGGTTCACAGGGCAGCTGCATTTAAATTTGTGTACATATTTTACAATAATCAATTTCTATGAGTGAGTCCATTATTTTTTTTTAGGGTAAAGTACAACCACACCCCACCCCACGAGATTTGGCAAAAAGACATTCAGAGGAAACTTAATTATTTTTTGGACAATGACACTCCCTGAAAGTTCAAAAATGGACAAAGATACCCCTTTATATGAAAAATTAACTAAATTACCCTTTGACCGTTTAGGAGACATTTTTAACTTTACAATTTAATAAATTGGACTAATCTATCCTCATGAATAATTTATGCATAAAAAAAGTATAAAAAAAAAAACTTTATATTGTTCACACTTTTTTTTTTTTTACTTTATAAATGTCCCAACTTCTTAAAAATGTGGACTTTTAAAATGATTTTTTTATTCATACATATATTTCAAATAAATTATATTTTGTTATTACTTCTTTTCTTTTTCTTTTTTATTTTTAAATTAAGATGCTTAATTCTTTCATTTAAAAAAATCAAACCAATCTCTTTTCCTTAAAAATAAAAAATATGGTACCAGTATAACTTTATGTATCTTAATTTATATATCAAATATTATGCATTTTCCAACATAAAAGAAAATAGGTACCAGTATATCTTTATGCATGCCTTCATTTTTTTCCCTTTGTTTTATTTTTTTTTCCCTTTTATATTGGGAAATGCATAATATTTGATATATAATTTAAGATGCATAAAGTTATACTGGTACCATATTTTTTATTTTTAATGAAAAGAGATTGGTTTAATTATTTTAGATGAAAGAATTAAACATCTTAATTTAAAAATAAAAAAGAAAAAGAAAAGAAGTAATAACAAAATATAATTTATTTGAAATATATGTATTGGATCAAAAAATCATTTTAGACGTCTACAATTTTAAGAAATTGAAACATTTATAAAGTAAATAACAAAAAAAAGAAAAGAAAAAAAAGTGAACAATATAAAGTTTTTTTTTTTTTATTATTATTACTTTTTTTTATGCATAAATTGTTCATGAGGGTAGATTGGTCCAATTTATTAAATTGTAAAGTTAAAAAAGTCTCATAAACTGCTAAAGGGTAATTTGGTCAATTTTTCATGTAAAGGGGTGTCTTTGTCCATTTTTAAACCTTCAGGTGGTGTCTTTGTCCAAAAAATAAGTAAATTTCATCTGAGTATCCTTTTACCAAAACTCAAGGGCTGTGGCTGTACTTTACCCTTTTTTTTATGCTCTATATATCAAATTTCTCATTCTCTCTCTGTAACTCTAAAGCTCACTAGGTCACCCTCCAAAGTATGGTTACGTAACTCAAAAAGATCTTCGTTAGTATGCCAATCTATATTATGTACACACTTTTTTAAAATGTCTTGCGAACTGATGAGTCAGGATCCTCAGATGTGGGTATGGGATGTGTTCTCAACATGTTGGTTGAACATGCACCTCACAAGCACATTCTATAATTAAAGGCTAATAAAGAATTGTATAAAGCCTCTTATTGTGTTCATTTTCTTACATTATTGTTTCAACAGGAGTGAAGTGCCTTTTTTGAACATTTGATGTTATGTAAAAAATGTTTATTTCACTCTAGAAAGTAAAAGAAGAAGATCAAACAATATGGACAATGTTCTGACCTCCTTGGATTTGAGAATTTGATATTAACCAAGTCCATGGAACATATATTCCAAATTCATGTAAAATGATCTAGCATAAATAATATATAGATGCTTCATTCATATTTTCCATACCTTTGAACCTGCTAGGGCCAAGCGCTTCCCTGCACTTGCTGCTAGTCCCACACTCCCACTTTTGCTTAAATTCCCACGATGCAGACTCCATCAGAAAGAAATAGATTTGCAAATAGCACGTTCATATTGCTCATCGTTCATTTCCACCACGCCAACATAGCTGCCATAATAAGAAGCTGGTGAAGCAGCTAGAAGCGTTCGCTTCACGCCCTTTCATTCTTATTCACGAATGAATTGGGAAAGTCAACAGATAGATTAGATTCTGACTTCGTAGAGCCAGTTTTTCCTTCTTAGTGTCGAGTTACGGGAATCCCTACAGACCCCTGTTTGTTTGTTAGGATTCCCTGCTCGACCTCTCTCTTTGTCTAGTGGCGTTTCCACATTTAATATAATAAATAAATTAGGTGCCACATGAATCATGGAAAAATATCTGATACATCAAATCTCATTAAAAAGATAAAGTAGTGCCACATTAAGAGAGTTTGAGTAGCCATGTAGTTTTATGGTCGATAGATTGGGTATCAATATATTAACAAACTTCTTGAAATTGGAAAGCCTTCCTTATACTGTAAAATATTGCAAGTGCCTAAATGTGAAACAGCAGGATGTGAATATTGATCCAACCTTTTGCGCAGGGAAGAATGGGCTAGAAAAAAAATTGCTAAATGGCGTGTATACACCATGTGGGTAGAATATATATATATATATATATATATATATATTGTTCTCATAGTTTGTGTGGCATAATTGCACGCTTCTTGGTTAGATAATACTGTAATTTATCAGTCATATATTCATCACCTCATCTCTCATTTGAAGACATTTTTAGTTCTCCAGGACATCTTTACATCTGGCAATTTTTTTAGTTTATGAATGTCAATCAATCATGATAGGTCTACCTTTGGGTTTGATGCAGGTGACATCTCCACAAGGTAATAAGGTGCACACATTGAAGGGAACATCTGGAGACAAATTCGAATTCAAGGCCCCAAGAAGTGGAATGTACAAATTCTGTTTTCATAATCCTTTCTCAACACCAGAGACTGTCTCTTTCTACATACATGTTGGCCATATACCCAATGAGCATAACCTTGCCAAAGATGGTTTGTTCAATTCTTTTGTATATATTTTCTTGTGAGTGCATTTCCATTCTAATATATTATAACCATATTTCAAGGTTTCTTATCGTTGACTGCTGCTTCAACATGAACATTTAAATAAATTGCTGGTTGAACTGAACCCTCTTAGCCAAGTAATATCTTTGAAGCCAATACAAGACACCGATATTTTTGTCATACTTAATTTTTTTTTTTTTTCCCTTTATGTGGTTGCTTGTTGCAGAACATTTGGACCCTATTAATGTTAAAATTGCTGAGCTGAGGGAGGCACTGGAATCTGTTACAGCAGAGCAGAAGTACTTGAAAGCACGTGATGCTCGTCATCGTTATAGTAAGCTGTTTTCTTTTCCTTGAACTGAAGTGGTGATTGAAAATTTATGCAGTCATTCAATTATGTAGAACTCTCATGTTAGTCTCTTTCTCGATGAGTTATGGCCCTGATCTTGGCCGTTGGTTCCATTTTGTTAAAAGGTGTCATACATAGCAACTTTAATATCTAGATGATCTTTTATGTGTTTGTGGTGTACTACAGAGGGCATCCATATGCAACCCATCTGTGTGTATGAGCGTGCGTGCACGCGAGCGTGCGCGTGCCATGAACTGAAGAATGTTCTTCAGTAGTGGAAGAAATGTATACCGACAATAATATTATCATATGTGTCTTGTGCATCAAAGCATCACAAATTTGAATTAGTTTATTCGGGTAAACTTTAAATTTTATATCAATCAGGTTTTATACATGTTGTACACTAAATATTAGGAGAATATCCATCGCTGCATCACATGATATGACAGCCACTATGATTTGAGTCCCATGATGGGCAAACAGAATCTGAAATAATGATTTATAACATCAGTGAGGGCAATCACTTGGAAAAACTAATTGTAGATGTATGGGTAAGCAGATTCTCAGTTCGAAAAGGCCAAGCTCATGTTAGATTTGGAAACATACTGGACGCACCAACGTCAACCGACTCAACCATTAGAAATGTCACACAAATTACGATTTTCTCTTTTTGCTGCATGTAAAGGGTTAATTTGGTTCAGACACGGTGATCCTTTGGTATAACCTCTCTGATGCTTTTGGTAGGGTTTTATTCGTTTGAATGAGCAACATGGTGCAAGGATGGAATTACTAACCATTTGGCCATCTGCATATTACAATGAGAAAAATGAAAAAATAAAATAATAAAATAAAATAAAATAGGAGTTAAATTTAAAGAAGGAACTGTGAGGACTTGGGTAAAACTGTTTCATTCAGTCATGGAATGCTAGTCACATAGTGCATGACTTGCCTAGAAAGCCATTGTATATCGGTTATATTGTTTCGTATTTACCAGCAAGTACATATGTCCTGAGTTTCGCACAAATGATTATTTTAGTTACCTTTTACTTTTATGAAATTTGACTTCGTTCTTCAGGTTAGTTAGAACTATATATTTTTTCCAACATCGGACTAATTATATATTATGTCCCACTTTTCTGTAGTGCGGTCTCCTGCTGCTGTTTAAGTGTAGATAAATACCTAGATTACGTCGATAACAAGTTGTTGTTTTTATTATTTTTTTTTTAAATTTTTTTTCTCTCGTTGAGATGATTGTTAACTGAGCAATCTCATTCATTCACCGTCTGTTTCTGCTGCAGCAAATGAGAGCACACGGAAGCGTGTCATATGTTACACAATCGGAGAGTACGTTTTGCTGGCTCTTGCAAGCGGACTGCAAGTCGTGTATATACGCCGCCTGTTTAGCAAGAGTGTTGGATACAACCGGGTTTAAGCGATCATGTTGAAGCTACTTACCTGGTCTTACCATCTCTTTATAACAAATGGGCAGTAGTGTTTGAACCGTCTAAAAGACGAGTTTAGAGGAACACATTTTGTGCTTAAACAAATCAGTATTCTGGTTCGTATTAGAATATTTTTTAAATCATAAGAAATGGGTTAGAATATTGATGCCGTGTTCGGTGTGGTTTTGTGATGTGTGGAAATTTTCAATTCAATGTTCCATGGTCTCTCTCAGAAATATACTTTGCATGAGCAATTACCACTGCTTTGGATTAAGAGAATTGAAAGGAAAAGGAGGAAAAAAAAAAAAAAAAAGATAAACAAGGAGAGCTTAATGCGTTGAACAATGTTTTTTTTTTAGGATTAGATAGCAGAGGATATATGGGAGAGTTGGCGAAACTTACTGTGTTCCTAGTTCCTACTTCTCGCAACAAGTAGTGATTTTCTTTACTACTCATGCAATAAAACAAAAATCAACCATTTTTTTTTTATCATTTTATTCTTAATTTCTTGATCAAACACGACTAACAGTTACTATTACCCTTCATAATGTGTGCTATGATGCTTCTTTGGACTTTTATTTGTAATTGTAATATTATACTCAGCCTGGCATAAATCTTTTGTCCTAAACTAAATTGACACTCCTGATTAAGAAGAAATTGCAAAAGACATCTCTCAATCAAACTACGAGCTAGAGCTAGTTCTAGGAATAGGGCATTATTTACTGGCCTAGTTGATAAAGTGTCTAACTTTTCGAACAGTTGTGCTTTAGGAGGTAGTTTCGAATCTCACAGTAAATAGCCCCTTTATCCCTAAAAAGAAAAAGATTAAAGAAAATTTTGTTACTTTAATATTAGCATTTTTTTATATTTATATTTTATTTTGGAGAATGTTAAAATAGTGGAGGATCTAATATATGTGGCGTGGTTATACAGAGTGAGATTGGAACGAAAGAGCACGTAAACTATTAGAGTGGGAGCACGGACATAATGTAAGAAGAATTGTGTGACTTAAATTGGGATTGTCATGACTATTTCAGCACTTGAGTGTGCAAGTCCACACTAAAATTTACAAAATTCAAAGGTTGCGTCGTGATCTAAGTCACACAATTCTTTTTAACGGATGTCATTCTCACGAGCGCACTCTCATTTCCATTCACACTCCGTGTGATTTAGATTTTGCCACTTTTTTGTTTTGCTCCCCAATTTTCTCTTCCTACTCCGTGTGATTTAGATTTTGATGCTTTTACGCTTTCACTTCTGAATTCATTCTTACTATTCTGTGTGGTTTAAGGTCTGCTTGGTATGAAACTCTGAGAACAAATTTTTGTTTTTATAAAATTGAAAACAGAAAAAGTATAAAAAAAAACTCTGTTCAGTTCAATTTTCTGAAATCTAATTTATAAAAAGGTTTGTTTTCAGATGTCTTTTATAATTATCTGAAAACAGTTTTCTATTATCTGAATTCTTCGGAACTATTTTTAAAGTTACAAGTTAAACAGACTCTTAGGCCCATTTGGCATGTGATATGTTTTTAGTCAATACCAAAACAATCATTTTGTTGTAAAAGTGTTTTGGGTATAAATTAGAACCATGTTTGGTAACGAAAAATTGTTTTGGGAAATTAAAAAATTTACTTTAGTTCCTCTGCTACCGTACCAAAACACCCAATACAATCAATTTGGTAATTTAAGCCAAAAAAATATGATATGTTATGAACTATTTCAAATCAATATCAGTCGTCCAAAACATGATATGGGTCTAGATGTAAAAATAAGGGTAAATTGTATTGAAACCCCTTGAGGTTTCGGTCAATGTCATTCAGATGCGGGTTAATGATTTTTTTAACAATGACACCTCATGCGGTTTCAAATGTCATATTTGCCCATTATTATTTAATTCAATTAATTTACAAAATATTAGCCCTTTTAATTGACAAAACTACCATCATCAATAAACATCTTTCTCTACCCTAATCTTTAACCTTTTTTTTTTTTTTGGGTTCATTTTAATACCTAGCCACCAATATTCTCTCTTTTTTCCCGATCTCAGACATGGCTGCCTTTTTTTCCACCTGTTGTGGTGAGCCTGGATTGGTCATAGCTGGCTATGGTGGTGTTTAGGTTATTAGGGTGGTTTTTTATTTTTATTTTTTCTATTGTGGTCGTGGTGGTAGTTCTGGTAGCGTATGGATGTGTTGGTGTTGGTGTCTTGGTGTGGTGGTGGTGGTTCCGGTGGCGTTTAGGAAATAAAAGTATGGGTTGGCTATGGCTGTTTTCAAATTTTATTTTTATTTTTATTTTTTGCGCTATTTGGGTGTGGTGGTGGTGGTGGTCATGGTGGTGTTTAATTTTAATTTTTATGTTGTGGTGGTGATTATGGTGGTATAAGTATTATTTTATATAAATTGAAGAAGTTTGTTTGGTACATTAAATTTTGGGAGGAGGTTAAATTTATAATTTCATGATTTAAATGAAATTCTTGACAAGTTAAGAAGTTAAAAAATAATTTTACATAATTTTAGAAGTATAAAAGGTGTCAATACACAATTTTTTAAACCTCAGTCAATGTAAAAAAAAGTCATTGATGGTGACATTGGCCAAACTCTTAAAAACGTATGCGTGCAATTTACCTTCCTTAAAAATAAATATTGAAAAATAATATAATAACTCATTTCAAACATCTTTAAATTTTAATGTTTTTGCACAAATAATATAATAACACATTTCAAACATCTTTAGATTTTTTTATTGTTTTCGCACGCCCTGTTCTCTTATTCGACTTCGGTCGTGTTGCGGTTTTTCGTAAGTCATAACTCGACATTATTAGCAAATACAGTATAAATGACTTGCCAAAAAGAGACATTAGCAGCAGACGATGATGTGTGAACCGACGTCCGTCCACGTGATTAACACGTGCTTCGTTATAATTTAGCGCTAAAATAACATTATCCTCCACTTATCCGGATACGGGACACCACTCTTTCTGTGAAATGTCATAATTACCATCACATATAAAATGAACTATATATTAAATAAGGTTACTTCTGATATTTCAATTCGATAGAGTCACTGCTCTTTGAATTCAAAAAGAATAAAGGAAAAATTAAAAAGATAAAAGAAAAGGAAAGAAGGGCTTGAACGGCCTGCCAAATACTTCCCCAAAACGTTCTTCCTCTAGATTCTAGGGTTTCTCTCTCCTCTCTCCCACACAGGAAGGAGCGGTTCTCTTCTCCTCCCGCTCCTCACACTTTCGATTCTCTATGACATACACATATACGCAACTCTATATATGTTTGTATAACTATATATACATCATCTATATGCTCTCGCATCGTCCTTTTCATCTCTCATCAAGTGATCTCCCGCTTCAACATAGCAAACCCTAACTAAAACCTCCTCCTCTCGCTCATCCCTGATTTGTATATTTAGATTTTATAAGCCAATGCGGGTATCAGATTCGGATGAGACGCCACCTGCAAATAATGATCGGTCGAGTGAAGTAGAAGAAGCCCAAGAACCGACATCATTGTTGACGGCTACGAGCGGAGATAGTTCCGATCATGATTCCATTCTTGATATTTCCGGCAGAAGCTTGGATTTTTCAGTTTCTAATGGCGCGGAGGACTCGATCGAGGGGTTGTATGTGTATAAGAATGTATTCAATTTGCTTCCGCGGTCTTTGGGCAGCGTCGGGGGGTTGAAGACGCTGAAATTCTTTGCCAATGAGGTTAATTTATTTCCGGCCGAGTTTAGGAACGTGGTTGAGTTGGAATACTTGCAGGTAAAGATATCTTCAATGGGTTTGACTGGTTTGCCTTTGCACAAGCTGAAAGCTTTGAAGGAGCTTGAGCTTTGTAAGGTGCCTCCTCGCCCATCGGCTTTTCCAATACTCAGTGAAATTGCTGGCCTCAAGTGCTTGACAAAGCTTGCTGTTTGTCACTTCTCTATCAGGCAAGTACAAGTACTTTTGTGATTGATGATATTACTGAAATGCAACCCAATTAGGCTTAATAATCAAACAATTACCTTTTTAAATGATTAGTCATGGTGTCACGACAGTGAGTCCAACTTTGAGCTATTTGGTCCCTTAGTTTATTATTATTTTATTATTATTGTACTTTTTTTTTTTTTATACGAGCAGAATGATAACTTAAGGTCAAATTTTAGCCTTGTATTGAAACTCTGGATTTCAAGCAGAATTGGGCAAGGGGTGAACTTAAAAAGGCTGTTGATTGAGAGATAATTATGCAGTTTTAGCCAGTTCCACATGTAAAATCTGCTGAGTGACTAGTTTAGTATGTTCCTGCTAGAAAATTTCCCCACAAATTCTCAAAGCGTATTCATCTTGTTTCACAATTAACTGGAATGCCTTTCTCAATGCCATACTTGTTTGTATGTGTGTAGTGATGAATTGGTCATAATTTATAAGCTTCATCATTTGATTGGCTTGACTGGCTTCTGCTATGCCTCCGACAATGTCTGCACTAAGAATAGGTTTTCAAAAAAGTTTAAGAACATCAGAAAAAATAGAAGCTTGTTATATCACAGGAATAGATTTAGAAATTATATTCACATTTGGATATGTTTCATGCTTGTCAACATACCTACTGTGCATACTAATCCAATTTTTTTTGGGCTTATTATTGAGCATTGAATATATTGTTACTCCATTGTTAGTAAAGCCCTTGAGGAAGCATGAACACGTGAATTTCATCAAAGAACTTCCCAAGTAGCTAACAACAAGAATAAATTAGAAGTTTATGTAATACATGTAGGGTTTAACAGGGACCTGTGATAAAGATTATGAAGAATAAATACGCCCGAAAATTATTCTAGATAAATTATATTGACTCTATCATGGTTTGAAAGTTGTAGAAGACTGAATAACTGGGGTGGTTGCCAAGATGTGAAAGAATCCAAGGGACTGAGAGTGAGAATATTATAAAATGAGCATTATTACTTTATTGAGCATTTTAAATAATAGTTGAAATAAGGTCAAATCTAGATCATTTTTCTATACTAGTGAGACATCAGTGATACATATTAATAATTTGAAACTCTTAAAATATTCATGCTATACTAGCTAAAAGCTGAAGCTCTGTAGAATCCGAAGTTCCACCTAATAGCCAGATATGAAAATAACAATAATGTCTTGTTGCTATGGCGTCCATATCGGTATATCTTACCTCCAATCCGAGTTGAAAGCTTTAGAAGAGAGTAAAATGTGAAGTAAAATGCTGAAAAATAATGTGTGTCCTTATGTTTAAAAATATTTGGCTGTAGTGGCCATGAAAAGTAATGTTTATAGCTGTTATGGGCCTTATGGTTGTGAATTTTTTTGCACTAATAATTGGTGCATAATGGACTCATATGTTTCTGCATTCCTCTAGTTTCATCTTATTTGGAAGTTCAAATGCAGTTTTCAAGAAATTTATTTTATTTACAAAAAATGTCTTATGTTCTGGAGCTTGGTTGATTAATCTTAGTGAGGCCATTCATTATTGAAGGTGTATAAGTATTGGAGTCTAGCTTGTGTGGGCTTTTAAATTAGCTTGAAAGAGAACTAAATTTTGAGCTGCTTTATGCTTACTGCTGGTGTCAGGCACCCATGGTTTCAGGCTTGTGATCACCATAAAAGCACTCTAGCTTGACTTTACGATTCATTTCTTTGATGTTTCAAGGCCTCTAAGCTGCAAGCTTCAACTTGCAACCTCTAAGTGGTGACCTCTTCGTCATGAGCTCCACCTACCCCTGTTGTATAGCTGTTTGATCTGCCCCCTAGAAGGGCTAGGTTTTGTTTGATAAAACTGAAAAGTAAGCACTGAAAATGTTAGGACTTTAAGTGTTATAATTTAGGTGATTATTGTAAAGTGAGAACTTTTTTGCTATATGTTTGAATTGTAAGTGTTAGTGATGATTGGAGTCTTCTTAACTTGAAATTTTATCAAATTTTTTTTTAAAGTTGAACTTATTCTTTTAATTGATATCCGAATTGCTTTATCTAACCCACTAATTTGTTCTGAATTAAGTATTGAATATAGTTTCCAGACAATGTCTTTGTATGTTCAACAGGCTTAATATACTTACCACTCCCATCTAGGTTCTATAATGGCTCTTAGGTAGCCCTATCTTCAGAAGCTCATCCTTTGTAGGCATATCGATTTCTCTCTATATTAAGCAGACTTATTATTTTCATTTCTGGAAAGGTTTATTGGTTAAATTTAGCTGGTTTATCTTATTTCTTTGCCAAACTTATTTTTTAGACCCCCTAGGCAGAATCGTCTTCAGCAAACGTTTTTGTCTCTAAATATATAGTGCTTATCTTCTATACACATTATATTTGGCAGGCTTATATCGCCTTCAATGGGTTTTATTGCACACTTCTCTGGTCGTGATCCATCATCTATGGAGATAGCCCCTATTTTTTTTATTCATTAACTATCTTGGTTTGGCTACAGACTTACTTGATTGCCTTCTCTACATGTGCATATGATCTTTAGCGGTGCTTCTCATAAATGATTTGTTTTTGGGGCTTCTTCTCCCAAGATAAAGTCTCACTATCTTCATTATGAGCTATTGTGAGGACCTTTCTTTACATATACTTGGTTTCCTGTTGCTTTATTTTCATTATACACTATAGGTTAGCTTAACTCTGACTTCAACGACATGTTCAAGGGCTTTGGTGTCCAGAAAATTTGTTCAACTTTAACATAGAATCATTCTATCAGATGACCAGAAACCAATTTTTGAAATTCTCCTTTTAGTTTTAGTCAAATGAATTCTAGGGTTTTTCAGTGTGTGCTCCCCAAAATATATAGCAACTTTTTGTTTGAGTTTTCCTAAATTTTAATCTTGGACCTTTGTTGAGGCACTGTGTTTTATTTGGGGAAGGTCATGATATTTTCTCTGTTGTTTTCTCCTGCAGATTCCTTCCTCCTGAAATTGGCTGCCTTACTAATTTGGAGTACCTTGATCTTTCATTCAATAAGTTGAGGAGTTTACCAACCGAAATAACTTATTTGAGTGCCTTGATATCCCTGAAAGTTGCTAATAACAAATTGGGGGAACTACCTTCCAGTCTGTCATCTCTGGAAAGATTAGAGAACTTGGACCTGTCAAATAATAGGTTGAAATCCTTGGGGTGTCTTGAACTTGGCTTAATGCATAATCTTCAGAAATTAAACCTTCAGGTACATATTAATCATCATAAACTATATTTTCCTTGGCATTCTCCCTGACTATATTACAAAGGTGTCTCTTGGTTTATTTTTTTCGGTTTTGTAGTTCATAATGATGTTTTCAGTTACATAGTTGAAGGGAAATAATACTACTCGTATTTGCTTTCCATTGTAATAAATATACGAAGTCAATATTTCTTCTTCACTCACCAAGCTTGATCCCAACTGTTTATTTCAGCTTTGTCAATCTTTTGTTAGCATTTTGCTCTATTTACGTCCTTTCTCCAACAGTCGTCATAGTTGATTATCTCTCTCCAATATCTGTGACCTTTTTTTTGTGGGGTGGGGGTGGAATAAGGTATGAAATCCGTAATCATGTAACCATGTTATTATTGGAACACGCGTCTAATATTTCCTACCTGGAAGCTGTGAAATTATAGAAGAATTCATCAAATTATATCTCAGTTTCATAAAGTGACCTGCTTTTTTTTGTTTGATATCTAATATTTTTTGTTCTTTTTTATGCTTACAGTGACCTAATTTTTTATTTAAAATTTCATCTAACTGCTGGTGTAATTTGACACTTGGGGTCCTTGGATACTTCTCCTACAGACTTATGAATCTGTGATTTATTTATATATTTAAATTTTTTGCATCTATATACTGGTTTATTTTTTCTATGCTTACCGTGACCTATTTTTTATTTTTGCATCTAACTGCTGATGTAGTTTGACACTTGGGGTCCTTGGATACTTTTCCTACAAACTTATGAATCTGTGATTTATCTATATATTTAAATTTTTTGTATCTATATAGTGGTTTATTTGTTTAGTTTTTATATCTTTTACATATCTATGTTTGGATATCTAATCCCAACCTTTTTGTTTTTCCCTCAAATCTTCATACTGTTCTAGAACAATAAGCTTCTCAGCTGTTGTCAAATACCCTCATGGATAAGCTGCAATTTGGAGGGAAATGGGAAAGACACATCCAATGATGAATTCATTAGTTCTTCAGTTGAAATGGATGTATTTGAAGGTGCCTTTCAGGAAATTGCTGACAGCCCTCGAAATAGTGAGTTCTATAGCAACTCCTCTCTGGCTCAACATTATTGCTATATTGATCCTTTGTTTTTCTGGATAGTGTTATGATTTTGTATCCTTTGTGGAAGAAACTTTAGATAATTGGAAATTTGTAACTGTTGTAGGATCTCATTCTGCTTCATCGAGTCATTTTACTGGATCTTCATCAAACAGTAGATGTTTTGCGTCAAGGAGGCGAGGCAAGGGGTGGAAACGAAGGTTTTATTTGCAAGAGAGAGCTCGTCAAGAGCGTTTGAACAGCAATAGGAAGTGGAAAGCTGAAGATCCTGCTGAGATATTGACTCAAAAAACAGAAGAGAAATGCAAACCAGGAAAACATCCTTTACTCGCTTCTGAATCTCCTGCAGAAGGTCCATCAGGTATTTTAGGTGATGACATTGATAATAAAGATTTATTTCCTGGAGAAGATGCTGGAGAAAATTTGCTTATTGGTGTTGAGGATGATGAAATCAGTTTGAAAAAGGAGTACGACGTAGAAAATTGCTCATGTGTCACACTTGAATCTGTTGAAGTATGTAAAGAGGGAAAAAATGACTGTACAGAGCATGATACATCCCGAAACTCTCGTTCGAATGCTGCTGATGTGCAAGAGGAAGGCTCATCTTTGGATTTGTCTAACAGTAATCCAAAGTCAAAAAGGCATCCTGATAGGGATCTTGACAATCCCAAACCAAGCAAATCTAGGAGACCAACTGACGATCACTCTGATCTGTCTTGTAAATATAGTAACACGTCATTCTGTAGCATTGAGGACTGTCTCCCAGATGGCTTTTATGATGCAGGACGAGACCGCCCCTTCATGCCGCTGAAATTTTATATTCAGAATCTACACATGGATTCGCGTGAAGTCATTCTTGTGGACAGGTAATTCCTTATGCTGGTTGTGCCTAACGTTACATTTTGCATAAATCTAATTATTTTTGGTTTTACTGATTTTTCCTTCAGGAAAAGGGATGAGGATTTAGATGCCATTACATTATGTGCTCAAGCATTAGTATTTCATTTTAAGCAGATTAATGGTTCCAACAGAGAAAAGGAACAGGTTGTTATTAATAATTTTCAGATCGCATCATTGCTTTCTCTTTTTGTGTCTAATCACTTTGGAGGGAGTGATAAAAGTGCAATAATTGAGAAGACAAGAAAAGCTGTATCCGGTTCAAACTACAGGAAGCCTTTTGTCTGTACCTGCCCAACTGGAAACAGTAACAGTATTCAGAAATCCTCAAAACAGAGTTCGAACACTGCAGAAGATATTCTTTTCCTTGATCTGTGTGAGAAATCTCTCAAGTGTGCAAAAACAAGGCGTAATTCAATCGTAGTTCCTATTGGGACTCTGCAGTTTGGTGTCTGTAGACATAGAGCCTTGCTCTTGAAGGTGATTCTTCTACTGAATAAGCTTTCCATTTTCTAGTTATAGTGATTTTTGTACTATTTACTTCCTTTTTTTAGTTGTTATTGGTTGACATATCCTCATATGGCTTCTGCTATAGTACCTGTGTGACCGGATGGAGCCTCGGGTACCTTGTGAGCTTGTTAGAGGCTATTTGGATTTTTCACCGCATGCCTGGAATGTAGTTGTCATCAAGAAGGGCAATTCGTGGGTACGCATGATAGTTGATGCGTGTCGTCCCCATGATATAAGAGAGGAGACAGACCCAGAATATTTTTGCAGGTTTGTGTTTTTATTATTATCTTCGTTTGTTTGTTTATGTTACATTCTTTTTTCTTCTCTTCATCTTTAGTTATAACATCCATTCGAAGATGATGTGTATATGGACTTTCTCTCTCATGTCAGTCTGTATGTTGTTTAACAATCAACAGTAAAAAGTTGATGCTCTTCCTCGTAATGTGATATTACACGATTTGTAAAATTGCTGCAATTGTGATAAGTAATTCGTTCTGGCTTGTGCAACATGGGTACTTAGCATGACTTCATAGTTTTTCTGTAGTATATGTCACCATTATGGGGTGATGTACATGCTGTTTTGGTGTGCCTTTATTTATTTTATTTTTTTGGTAATAATTCATTCCTGTCTAAGAATGAGTTTTATTATTGTTACAAAGTTGTGCATGTGTATATGTGCATGCATGTGTTCTTCATTGTAGTTTCTGATTGGTGTGCTGTTGTTTCAGGTACATTCCTCTCAGCCGGATTAATGTTCCTCTTACCACAGATAGCAATCCTGGTCCAAGATGTTTATTTCCTTCTTTCTCTGCATGTGATGAAATTGGCAAAGCTGCTTCTAGTACTCTTCTCCGGTGCAATTTTGGGTCAGCTGAGGCTGCAGTGAAGGTTTGTTTGTGATAACTTTACTGTGCATCTGTTGTTATTATGCATAGTTTTCCTTGGAATTCTATTTAGTCATTGACACGACTGCTTCATAATATGGTTCTGTAGGTTAACAGAGCGTTTTTGTGACCTTTTAATAACAATCGTTTGGTATACCTTCAAAAAAAAAACATTTCGTATACCATATAATAATCTTCATGTGGATCTTTTTTATTTTTTAGTTTCTTTTTATAGGTTTCAAAGATAAATATTTCTTTGTTTAGTTTCTTTTTATACGTTTCAAAGATAAATATTTCTTTGTTTAGTTTGTAGGTGCCAATGTATGTTTTCGATTTTTCTTCCAATTTTTCCTCATCATACTTAGACTATCATTCTAATTGTATTGAAATGGCTAATGTATGGCATGTCTAATTTATTCTGTTTCAGTTGCGTACTTTAGAAGTTTGTGGGACTTCTGTAGATGAAATCAGGAATTTTGAGTACAGTTGTTTAGGGGAAGTAAGAATTTTAAGTGCTTTGAAGAAGCATTGTTGTATTGTTGAAATTTATGGTCATCAGATATCTTCCAAGTGGGCCCCGTCATTAAATGGGAAGCCAGAGCGTCGTATATTACAGTCTGCCATCTTGATGGAGTACATCAAAGGGGGCTCCTTAAAGGTATTTTTTCCCTAAATTATTTAATTTGGCTGACTGACCTTAGTTACTTGATTTATCTTTTATTGTCTTGTGTCTTAATTATTGTGCTGCTTATTTTGTAACAGAATTATATAGAGAAGCTATCAAGAGCTGGTGAGAAGCATCTGCCAACCGAGTTGGCATTGTGTATTGCTAGAGATGTCGCATTTGCTTTGTCTGAGTTGCACTCTAAACACATCATTCATCGAGACATTAAGAGTGAGAACATTTTGATTGATCTGGATAGGAAGGTAGCTGATGGAACACCTGTTGTCAAGCTCTGTGATTTTGATAGGGCAGTACCCCTTCATTCTTTATTGCATACATGTTGTATTGCTCATACTGGAATACATCCACCTAATGTTTGCGTTGGAACACCGCGATGGATGGCTCCTGAGGTGTTTCAGGCAATGCATAAACGCAACATATATGGGCTGGTACGTTTTTTATCTAGTCAATTTATGATCTATTTAAAGTTGATGCTTAACATGTCTTTAAAGTTTATTACGATTTATAGAGAACTAAATACATTAATTTCATTTCAAAATGGTTTGCTAGCAAATCTGTTCATTGTTAAGGCATTGATGCATTATGGAATATCTGCAGGAATCAATATATACTGATTTATATCTCTGTGTTCTTATGTTTGTATATTACACTTCTTGCCTATAAGTGGCTTACATATGTGAGCAAAATTTCAATTTTCACACTTGTACGCAAGGTTGCGCTGTTCTCTCTTTCTGTTCTTTCTCTTCCTCTTTATTGTCTGATCCTCCAATTAATTTGTGTCCACTCCTTCAACTCAAGCATACCGTTGCTATCCCATTATAAACAGTAATTTTAGATAATATTTCCAAGGGGTTGCAAATGGATCTGCTGTAACACTAGATGGCCACATAGCTTGCTAACCCATTATAAACAGTAATTTTAGATAATATTTCCAAGGGGTTGCAAATGGATCTGCTGTAACGCTAGAAGGCCACATAGCTTGCTAAACCATTATAAACAGTAATTTTAGATTATCTTCGTCTGGTTACTTTGTTTCAAAATATGAATTAAATTTAAATCAGCAATGCATCCTTTAATCAGTCCCTACCCACTGAATTCAAACATTTGGTAGGTTTGTATACTAGCTATTATTACTTTGATTATTTGATTTGTAACAGTAATTTCTTGGTTGGCTGTAGGAAGTGGATATTTGGTCGTTTGGTTGTCTGCTTCTGGAATTGTTAACTCTGCAAGTTCCTTATTCAGGGTTGCCAGAATCAAACATTCATGACCTGCTTCAGGTACCCCTCTCTCTCTCTCTCTCTCTCATTCATTTGAATATTTTGTTTTCTCTAAGAAGAGTACAAGTCGAATAATATTGATCGAGATGGAAAGCAATCTTAACTTGATTTTGATTGTTATATTGAATGCTATATAACTGGAGTGCCTCATTAATGGTCAAAAGAAAAACTAAATTTTGATTGACCAATAAATGAAAGGAAAAAGCAATCACAACTTGTTTTGATCCAGTATGGTGATAAGAACTTTAGGATTTTGAATAGAGTTCCATCTCTCTCTCTCTTCACACACACTCTCGCACTCACAACTGCTGTAGTTTTATTTATGCACTTTTGACAGTTGTCAAGTTCTATAGTCATGTCATTATTTCATTGCATTATTATTTTATGACTGTTTCTCTGGGTTTGTAACCTGACCTTTTGAAATATGTTCAGATGCTAAGTTTGGCATATGCTTGAATTATGCTTTTGAAATATGTTTTAATGCTATGTTTTAGGGAATTGGATCCTTTGTTGTAAGCCCTTTTGTGCTTTAGCTGTACACGTTCAAAACAATTAAATCAAGGTGCAAAACATTATTTTATGCCTCAAAACACTTGTGTTGTAGCCTCCATTAACAATGGTTGCGTTGCAATAGAATTGAGGATGCAACACGAGCCTGTAATCTGAGCTATATAGAATATATCCCTATAGGAGAATGAAGAAAAAGAAATGACAGCATCGAAGATATATTTCTCTATATACACGGTTACGGTTATCCCCGACTGCGTTCCGTAAAAAGTGGCCCAAAAAATAACACAAGCCTACCAATACATAGTATAAAGGATGATGAATATGGAAATTGAGGATTGAAATAATGGTGATGTACCTCGATTTTGCAGCCTCGACAATGGAGGTTGAAACACGATGAATTGAGGTTGCAATGCCTTTTTTTATTTTTATTTTTTATTATTTTAAAACTCAAGATAATTTCTCACCTTGATTGCGTTCAACATATTTACAACACGCTACTACAGCACCAAAAAACGTATAGCAGGGGATCTGACAGAAAATAATATCATTGCCTTTTTTTGATTTCAGACAGGAAAACGGCCACAACTAACAGATGAGCTAGAAGCATTGGGTTCACTAGAGGAGCCTGCAATGGCTCAGTCAGGCACTCAGCTGGAGGGACCAGAGGCTGAATCAGATACTTTAAGATTTCTTGTTGATTTGTTCCGTCGGTGTACCGAGGGGAATCCAACTGATCGTCCAACAGCTGAGAACCTCTACAATATGTTACTTGCCCGCACGAGCACTTTCACCAGTTCAAGAAGTTTGGAACAAGAGGAGGTTGTCCTTTAGGTAATAATCCATCCACACACTCAAATTTTTGTAGCCCTAGAATGTTTAGAGTTATATTAGTCCTTTATCCCTTTCAGAACCAAATATTTGGGTTTTCCCAAGAGTCAGTTGTACCCTTCTCTCCTAGCTTACCAGTTAGTTTAAGAAACCTCACTAAATTATTTCTATTTTCCAGTATTATCTTGCCTTTAGTTGTAACCCCAAAACTATTTATGTAATTGAGAATTGTTGTTATATTCAGGTAGGTTACTTGTCCATCGTCACATTTGTATTCAGCTTTACTTCAAACTAATATACTTAAATTATCAAAGCACCCCGAATTTTTTATTTGCATGTTTGGACTCAGCTCTTGATTGTGGTCTTCAGTTCACTGATAGTAGGTTGAATTTTGATGTGACCTGGTTCTGTGTTGCTCTTTCAAATTTTGATTGGTTTGTTCATTTAATAGCTTACAGATCAATTTTTACTTTCCTCGTTCTCTGCAATAACTTTCAGCTGTCCAAACTATCTGTTTAGTTTTTCTGTTTGCTCAAGTCAGCCTGTTCCTTTCACCGAAGTGACTATTAATGATACCTTTTATTTTCCACCACGAAGATCTTTTCTGACTTGTGATTAGAAACGATGCATAAATCTTACTCCCTTCGATTACATTAGAGGATTTTCACGTCACTTGAGTGATTGGCTTTGTATTGTTGGTGATTCTTCATGCATGCATATCCCCATTTGAGGGATCTCATTTTGTAGTATAAGGTGGTGGTGCTAATGGAGGAAATGACATTGTAGGATTAAACTGTGGAATCTGTGTTAGAGCATTATTTTAAACCTTGAACTTACGTTGTTTTCAATTTCAGTTATGAAATTTTTTACCTAAAGTCTTTATTTTTTTAAATATTCCTGTCATGCGTTTCATGTTAGGGTCCTTGGGAGTCTGCAACGGGTCATGAAACACCTTGCCTAAGACCCATGCGTCTTTTACTAGGGTTGGAAAAAATAAATTAAACTGCCCCAATCCGGCCATGAATCAAGGTTGGGGTGAGTTGTTTAAAGATGCCGGTCAAAAGTTGGTAATTACGGGACAAAGGTGGGTCATTGAGTTTGGAACTCAGATAATTAGCGAATTCCAGGCCCATGGCGGGGAACACCCCGAATTTGATCATTGAAGGGGTTGGTTGTGTTGGACATAAATTCTGTCAAGCATTGGACTGTACCTGATGCAGATGGCTGGATGTCAGATCAAGCTTTGGGTTGCGAGATTGGGCTTAATTTTATGTTTAATTACACCAATCAAGTGGTGCCATCAACCCCAGTTAGACTGATCCTGTTTCTGCTGAGTGGTCATTGGAGTGTATTTTGGAGTTAAATTGGTGAATGGGGTGATTAGGGCTCAATGTAATTGTGAATGATTGATTCGATTCAAGTGGTGCCATCAACCCCAGTAGTGATAATAACCTCTAGTGCCCTATAAAAAGAAAAGTTTCATTGAGAACACAAATAACAGACTTGACTGAGATTTGAATTTAGATAAGATCCCAAACCATCATTGTCATTTGATCTATATAAATACATGTATGTATAGCTGGAAGTGTGGAAGGCATGAGAGAGAGACAACCCTTTTACAGGAAGACTAATTAATGGGTTGCTTGCAGCTGCATTCTTTTACATTACTGCCTTCTGTTACCTTTCACACGCACACACACACACACACACACACACACACACACACACACACACACACAGAGAAGAGAGAGAGTTTTCACAGTTGCAGTGTGTGTGTAGAAGAGAAATGGGACCATTCTAGTCTACTAATTCTAGCCTTCTCCCCCAACTTCATGCGAGCCTGAGGATCTGAAACTTGGACCACATTTGAGCTAGGCTTTGTAGGGTTATTGGGAACAATCAACTCTCTCTCTCTCTCTCTCTCTCATGCGTAGCAGGCTGGCAGGACAGTGCTTAACTGCCCAATTGAAACTATTCTCATGTGGTTAGTAAATCCCACACCCATTAGAGTATGGGTCAATTCGGGTTTCTATTATTAGTGTTTTCTTTTTGTTCCATATATATATATATATTTGTTGAGCCTTTTTTCACTTGTGTTAATTAACTTTCATTGGAGCTCTTGTTTGGTACAGAGTTTAGTAAGCAGTCCTAGAACTGGTACTGCTGGAATATGTTTGTTTCACCAAGCACAACTTGCAATGCAATGGATAATTGTGTCTTCATGATTTTATTATTTGATGAATTTGAGCTGTTGACCACAAGATTTATGTCGTATTAGATTACAATGTGTGTATGGCGATTGTGACGGTACATGAAGATGGATGTGTAAGTGCATGTGATTGACAGCAACTACACCTATCAATTTTGTTGGCCTGAACGCCAATTATGGGTTCCAAATTAGATCTTTTGATCAAACCAAGTCTCTCCACCAATAATCCCTTGTTAGCTAATACCTACAAAGGTCACGTTAAGGGGGTTTTATTTGGTAGATGGAGAGGATCTCTTTTTTGAATTGTTTAGATTTGACATGACAACTTCCTCTAGATGATCCAATCAACGTGTAGATTCCTATTTTGTGATTTTTTAAGACTATTTTTACCGTGAGTCTAATTAGGTTGTCACATCAGAGTTGGGACTTTTTGTTGTATAGTGAATTGTGTCGTCGTATAGTAATGGACGATTAGATCATATACAAATTATGAATAGAATTTTAATTAAGTTGTCACACCAGAGTTGGGATTTTTTGTTATATAGTGAATTGTGTCGTTGTATAATAATGGACGATAAGATCATATACAAATTATTATTTTGAATTTTAATTAAGTTGTCACACCAGCGTTGAGATATTTTTAATATACAGTGAGTTGCACTCTTGACTTGTATAGTAGGAGACGATTCAAATCAAATAAATTGTATATTTTTTATTTGAATCGCCCCCTATTTTACAGCACGGTGCATTGTATACTCACCCAAAATTTGGCGGTTATCTTGGAATTGAAGTTGAGGTTAACCTAAGACATCAAGAAACAATGCAAACAGGACTTCCATTGCCAATGTTTTTGTGTCGTTGGTGTCAATTAACTGTTGCCGGGAAATGGTATATGTGTGAATTAGTAGGTGAAAGCTCTTCCAAAGACTTATTCGGCTAAGAATATCATTAAACCCATTCTTCATCTTTATTCCCAAAACCATCCATATCTTCAACCACTTTTTTTTAAAGAGGATTTGCAGACAAACAATTGATTAGCTGTCATATTATACGGATTTTAACTAAATAATAGCAATCATTATAGTTTCAAATTTTTTTTTTTTTTTTTTTTTTTCTTTTTCATTTGGCACTTTTCGACAATAAATTAACTGAAATTGAATTTTATGAGCGAGAATAATAAAGTCAACCCAATAAAGGACCATAATATTCTATTGAACTTAACAACCTTTGAATTATTCAGCATCATATCCTCCTAGCCATCATCATTGTGGACATAATTATTTATTAATTAATACATCACAATGTAGAAATCTCCCAAGCATAGTAGATTCGGAAAATAAGTTCTTAAAATTTCGTTTTTGAACCGCACTCCTAACTTGAATATATATGTTATTAATTCGATACACGTGTTCTAAAAAAAAAAAGATAATATATCACATCCTTCATTTCAATGGAATTTTTGTACTAAAATGAATTTTATAGGAAGGTAAAACACTTCATGAGAAATGTTACAGAATGCGAGTCGAATGCCAATTAGTTTGGCGGAAGTACATGGTATTTGGTATTTTTTGTGACAAGGTATCTAGTTTTTGTGGTAATTAGAAAATAATAAAACATCACAACATTAATGCAATTAATAAATAATTGCAATTTAGAAGTATAATTTCACATTACAATTTATTTTTGTTTTCTTTTCTACAAGAAATTCAAATATTCATTATCCTACACGAATTTGAACTCTCACTTTTCATTTCGAGAAATAGAAGAGATATCAACATCAATAACAAATGTGACAATAACCACCACTTCAATAGAGAAGCACAAAAAATAACCATTGAGCCTGATAGTATCCAAGGTGATGATAAATGTAACCCCATTCCTCAGAAGATGAGAAGGGTTATTGGTTCAATTTTTTAATTATATTATTATTAAAGGTTATTTACCAATAAATAAATAAATAAAGATGAGAAGGGTTACTATTTTCATCAGATCGACCAATGGCAGAACCCTAAAATTGACAAAATAAGGGAATTATAAGTAAGAAGAGGACCGCTTCCACATTCAAACAAAGAGTGAGAAAATTACATATATCATGATCACCCATAAATAATAAAAAATAATAATAAAATTTTAAAAATAAAATATTCATAGATTGAAGCTGTTCGATCTGTTAATAAGGATTGAGTCAGGCAATTGCAAATTCCACACTTAGCAACCAAATGTTGGTTTGAATTCACTTGATTCCCTTGAAAGAACTCAATCAGTTTGGCCTTACTTAATCAAGAAAATAAAAAGAAAATAAAATGAAGAAAATTTTGATAATTAACAAAATAAATCTTTTTGATGGCTAGACCAGACATAATATGATTAAGTTAGTCAACTTTTTAAATTTCAAAAGTTTCTTCAAAGTGAAGATTGTATTTGCTTTTGGCAGCAAATTTTGCAATTATTATCAGTACACTTGATTTTTACTCAATTTCCATCCATATTTCTCCCCCTAATTAATAGATAAATTTTGTGCCAAATATATATATATATATATGGATCTATTCCGAATATATAGATTGTGCTAAAGATTCAAAATCCATACACACACACACTCGTGTATTATTCTCACTTTAACATGTTAATGTAAGAATATTACAATTACATCAATATATTGAGGCTCTTTAAAAACCAGGTACGTGGCTGGATTGTGTGGGATTATATTCCATAAACATGCAGGGTTTTGGCCTAATCCCTAACCCTACAACCATAGAGAGATTTGCCCTACTCCTTCCACCCAATTATAATTAAATTAATTAAATAAAAAATCATCCACCCATGATTTAATTAATAGTCCAGTTTCTATATATATATATTACATCATTACCTCCACTAACACGCACATACACACAAGAGGGAAGTTTGTTAGATCAAAAGAAGATTATTCCTTTTCGCCTCTCCAAATTAACAAATAAAATCCCTAAAGTTTAGGCAAATCTAATCATTTTATTTTTAAATAAAACCTCTCATTATACTCTATAATATATCTCTTTCATACTTCAGTTGAGACCGACTCTTGCATGTGTATATATATATATATATATATATATATATATATATCATAATTACCATATATTTATATGAGTATGCATATACTATTTAGTGTATATAGACACTGTGGCTTTAATGAGACATTAGGAGTAGCATGCTTCCAACAAATGGCAATTTTGGAAGGAAGGACATACACTCAACAAATAAAAGATGCTTAAAGAGTGACACATCATATAATTTGTTTGGGTTGAGATGTTTTTTTTTTCTTCTCATTTCTTCTTTTTGTGTGAACCTTATGCAACACTAAAGAAGCCATGCAAAAATGGTCCCCCCACATACTACTACTGTTTGATGCCTTGTGTGTGTCTGTGTGTGTGAGAGAGAGAGAGATATATAGAGAGAGATAGGTGCATGAAAGGGTCCCCCACCCTCCCAACCCTAAAGTTAATAAATGCTCTTACAATATATGGAAACTCTCACTAACCTGTCTGCAATATATGCATGGCGTGACAATTTTCAAATTGCATCAATTGGGACCACTTTAATATATTTCTTTAATTGTCTTTTTTATTATTTATTTACTTATTTATTATATGATCAACAATACTTTTTTTCATTCACCTATTCTCTCTATCTTGTGCCCAATAAAAATTATAATTCCCCTTTAATTCCACCATTTCAAACCTCTATTTATACCCATTAATTCACCCTCTAGCTCTTCACTCTAGCTTTAACAAAAGATTGAGAGAGAACAAGAAGCTAGGTCAATATATATATCTCTCTCTAGATCTTCAATAGACTACCCAATTTTAGGAGTGCCTATTTTCTTTTCGTGCACCCCCATCTGTTGAAGCTGCCAGCGTGATCTTAACTTCCCTCCTTTGTTGAGGAATGATCAGATCATGTGGTAGCTTCACCTGTTGCTGGTGGCACGGCAAAACCCTAATTTCACATCAACCCTAATTTTCATATGCTTACACACACACACACACACACACACCCACACCCATACAACCCATCTAGGGTTTTCCTTCAAAATCCTACATCAGGTATGCGGTGATCCTCTTGTCTCTTGTTTGGGGTTCATTTTCATGGGTTTTTTTACTTAATTTTCTGTGTGTTAGGAGTAGTACTACTTTTCTTTAACTTGTACAAGCAAATTTGGTATTTAAAGTGTTGTGCTTTTTCTACTTTTATTATGTCAAAACTTATGAGGAAGGAAAATGTTTTCAGATTGTTAGCAGTTTGAGTGACACCAAATTTTTTTATTTTTATTTTTGTCTTGGCCAGATTTGACGATTCCAAGATCCCTCTTTATACTTTGGGGGATGAGCCTTTATATGCCTTGATTTGCCCTAGTACTGTTTTTGCTTGTTAATGATCATCTTTTGGATGTACATGTGTTCTCCTCTTAATTATTTCATGTATTTTGTTGTATGTACTGATCATTCCAATATTTGTTTTCCTCTCAAAGTGAGATTTTATTCTTGATAAATTTACCCTCAAATTACAAAATAATAATACAAAGAACGTCTGAAAATATTGCACTCTTTGTTGAGATTCGGAATTTAATTCCTCTTTTTTTCCAGCCTAATTAGGGTTTTTATGAGGTGGGTTAAATGCTTCTTTTTTCTTGCAGCTACAATTAAATTACTAGAAGTTCTTGGACCTTGTCCTCTTTTGGGATTGAATACTGGCTTTTTCTCTCTTTATTTATTTATTTATTTCTATATAGCTATAAAAGATTATAGTTTTGACAAACTAGTTGAATCTTGAGGGAAATACACCTTATTAATGTTGCCATGTTTACCTCATAATGTTTTGAAGCTTTCATTTTCTTCCCTCAGGCTGTTATGGTACTCAACCCTGCTGGCTTATCTAATCTCAGATTAATGCTTTCTCGGAGCATGTTTAATCCTTCTTGACTGAGCCAGTTACCTTGTGTATGTATGTTTGTTTGTTTGTGTGTGTGAGAGGGAGAGAGAGAGTTGGTGTACAATTAGTAAACTGAAAATATTTTAAGACTTGATTAAAAGGAGTTGCTTAAAACAATGGATCTGGGAGATGTTGTTCATGAAAATAGGAAATAGGGCTAATGGTAGATATATATACACACACACACACACACATACGGATTCTGAGATGACTATTTATGACAATGGAACAGTAATATTGTACTATTTTGAAGATGGCAACACACCTAACGTATCAGATTGTGTATATAACAGCTAATCTTTTCTGTTGGCTTGGTTTCAGAAATTAAAGCACAGTACACTTCCTATCTATAGGACACCATTTATGTTCAGATGTTTCAGTACACACCATCATATTTTGAATTTATGAACAATTTGACTTTTATTTTCCTTACCTTACTTTTCTCATTTGTACTTTTATTTTTTTAGCTTATTAAAATTTTTATATTAACTCTCTAGTGTTTGTACATACTAATTAAAAGATTATTATTAATCTGTCAAAGCAAAAAATTGCAGGTGGTTGAGAAGCCTAGTAGCTGATTGGAGTCTTCGATTAGGCCTCATCATACTCGTGGAATTTAGATGCCTGGATTATATTCAATGTTGCTGGTTTTGGCTGTCTTGGCCACAGTTGTAGATCATATAACTTTAAGTTTGATGTTATTGTTTTGATCATCTTGTCTTGTTAGCTTGTATTTATATTTTTTCCTTTTTAATAATTTTTCGTGAACTGAAAATATAGATGTGTTCTTTGGAAGTGGATTTTGCAAAAACAAATTTCTAACTCAATAACCAACCATTACCCATATCATCTCTTCAACTCATTAGTGAACAAGCACCATCTCTCTCCCCCACTCTGTGTGTACGGTTTTCACTTATGAGTTGGCCATTGGAATAGGACATCTTCCTTGTTAGGAAGTTTGATTTAGGCAAGATTCCACATACCTTTCAAATGGATCGAGTACCCAAGGAATCAAAATCCTCATTAGTTTGATTCTCCTAACTTTTGCTGAGGTCTTCGTACGTTGGTCACTTGTCACACTCATTCGTGAGGGAAATTAGGTGAAAGAGTAACTCACTAGGGTTTGTTTCATGCCAGTAAAAGAGATTAACATGAGCCATCTAACAGGACACTGACATTTACAATGTGCTATCTTTGTAAGGGTGGTGAATAAATTAACTTAAGCAATACAGACTTGCAGTTTAATTTGATATCTACATATCCTAATATATTAATTCCTTTGTATTTTAAAGTTTAATCTGATCTTAGATACTTTCAATGGGTAGTGATCATCATGCAATGTTGCTGTTACTCATACATGATGTCACATGTTTGATCATTGATGGTAGGACAAGAAATTAAGTTCATCATGACCTCATGATCATTGGAATCTTGTTAAACCTCGCGCGCACGCACACACACACACCTGATCTTCCAATTTTGTACGCCAAGAACAAAATTAATGGCTCATTAATTTACTGAGCTTGAGATTTATTGGGTTCAATCCAATATTTGGGTTTTCCAAATTATTACATGTTTATCCTTATAATGATGAGAAATTTGGCTCATTTTTTGCAAGTTAATTAAGTGGTGCATGGAATATATTGCTCAAGTTTGGTGGTTATGACATGGTGAACAAGTCTTGATGAGATTCTTGACTAGAATGCTGGAGTTGCACGAGGCAACTAGGTTTGATAATTTGCACTCAGAAACAGCTCGACACAAGTTGAGGCCTAAACCGAAAATTATAAATGATCTTATGCTCCCTAGTTGCAATAATGAACATACACAGTTTGCACAAATAAGACAACTATCTTCCCCTTGAGAAGTGGCAATAATTAGGTTAATGTGATTCTCTACAAGGTCCTCCATAGATCTCTGTATTCCTTGCAATTTGTATATGGTGAGAAATCATAGAAAAACTTATGTGGATAAGGTTTAATTTGTGAAAGATAGAAGAAGATCAAAGTAGAACTAGAGAGAGACAAGGGAAAGAACAAAGAACAAATGGAATATTTTACGTACATATGTTATATATGTAATTCCACATATTTTTAACTTAAATTCATTAACACATGGACTCATGCATATTATATTGAATAAAGATACAATATTCGAATTGAGACTCATTATCATTACTCTTTTAATTAACACGTACACATTATTGTCCATCAGAGCCTCTTATGCATGTGTGATAAAATATGTAGATTTATTTACTTTTAATATTGCTGTAGCGATGGATTTGCCCATTTTGATTTCTTCATATTTCTGAAAATAGTTTTTAAAAATTTGAAAATAGAGAACAATGTTGTTCAAAACGTAAAACTTATATTAGATTTTTGTTTCGAAAGAAATGAGAACTGTCAAGCTTCAACCATTTGGGCTGAAAATGGGCCACTACTTGAGACACGAACAAAGACTTTTATCAACTTTCATGACATAGTTCAAAACACAACATATAGGCCTAAAGAAGAATTTGGGTCCTTACACTACATATAGGCAGCAGAGCCCAACCATTTCCTGGCCCAAATTTCACATCCACCAGGATCATAATACAGTATATGGTTTTTGCCTCCTTTAATTCCAATGTCCTGTAAAATTGGGCCAATCTATAAGTAACCCACAGCCCAGGTTTCCAATTGTCAATGTGTAAATAATGGAAAGCCCAGAAGATGCCAGTCTCCATAGTCTATTAGGGTATGTTTGGTAGGGTGGGTTTGAAGGGGAAGGATAACATTAATTATGAAGGAAAGGGAAGGGAAGGATAATTTTAACCCCCTATCGTGTTTGGTTAGTTAATGAAGGAAAAGAAAGGGAAGGAAAATAATCATGTTTGGGAAAATAGAATGAAAGAAATGAAAGGGAATTATTTTAATAAATTGACTATTATACCTTTTTATATTTTAATAAATAAATAAATATATATATATAGTATCCTATACCTGCACAAGAAAAGAAAAAAAAAAAAAAAAATTAGGGCAAATCATTTCAGCCTTTCCCAATCTCGTTTCCATCTCTATTTGATATATATATATATCAGCAGCGGGGCCACAAGAAAAGAAAAGAAAAATTTAGGGCAAATCATTTTAGCCTCCCCAATCTCGCCTCCATCCCTATCATTGTTCTAACCTCTGAACTTGCCCTCTCTCTCTATCTCTATCTCTCTGCACTACAAGATTCAGAAGTTCAAAACCTAAACCCATATATTTCAGTTTATCTTTCTGTCTGCAAGAATAAAAAATTCAAAACTTCGGTATATCATTTCAGATTGTTCAGAAAATCAAAACCCATATCTTTCAGTTTTTATTGCTGTTATTCCAGTTTGGGTTCGCCGTTCGCAAGCTTCAGCCGCCGGCGTGCCGTCTCTCATTCTCTCTACAACTGCTAACTTGTATGTAACTTGAATGTATATTGTTTTGAGGGTAAAATTGGCATCACAACTCCTCCATCAGCCATTGCCTTCCCTTTCCTTCCATTTCTTCCCATTTTTGGGAGGATAAGTAAATCACTGTACAAAGCTATACATAACCCTCCAAACCCTTCCCTTTCATTTCATTTCCTTCCACCCATTTTACCCAAACACACTTTTTAAATCACCCTTCATCACCTTCCTTTCCCTTTCCTCCCATTTCCACCCTACCAAACTGAGCCTTAGTCTGTTAATTAAATCTCTCTCTCACACACACACACACACACACACACACACACACTTAGCATATTGGTTGTTTGTTCAATGGCCTCAAAGAGACACATTTTATCGCAATGCAATTATTATACGGTTTGGACTTCATAGTCATAGGCAAGAAGACTAGGCACTTGAATTGCATGTTTCAGAAAATGAGACTTGAAGGTTTAGCTCCGGACCATGTAATTGGTGGATGAGGACTGTAAATTTGTTGACTCCGTGAAAGAAGTTTATGGCATAGGATGGAATTGAAATTTGAGCATTAGGGTTACCTAGTGGATTTTAGCAAGTCGGCTCATGTAGAAACGATTGGACCATGCCCTTGAATCCTAGTGCCATTAATTTTATGACATCCCAAATTGTGGAAGAGAAGTTGTTGATACGTGTAAAGTTAAAAATCGTGAGCATAGACAATGTGCAAAACGGGCAATATTCACACTTATAAGTGAAAAACATGCATGCTGCATGAATAGATGAAATAATGTGAAAGAGGAAACTAATGAAAAATAATGGAGTTACATAATCAACTTAGCATGGTTTTAATCTAGGGACAAGTGCAGAAGACACCCCTAAAGTATACTCCGTGTAGCATTTTACTCCCTATTTGAAAAAAGTGTGTCAAAAACACCCATAATCCTGTCACATTATGCAAAAATACCTCATCTGTCATAAATTAGTGATGTAATACCTATTTTACCCTTTTATTCTTCCGAAAATGCCCAGTGGGGTATATATGTGTTACGTGTATAATAGGGTTGATAGCTGAAGTAGAGTTTCCTTGCTATAGTTGAATTAGTCTCCGAGCTGAATTAGTTTCCCTGTTTTCTCTCTTTTTATCTCCTTTAGAATTGGTCTTCTGTTAACTTTTTGTTTCTTAGATAATAGGAGTTTGTTTTGCAACAAACTCTATCCTTCTTGTATTTAAGAGTTTGACATGAATAAATAAAGTAAGAATAAAATTAGATTTAAAGTCTTGTAGAGGTTGCTACCCTCGAAGTAGCTTGGAAACTTAATATTTTTCTATCTCACTCTCTTTTGTTTTCACTATAAACTCTTGTTCAGTCCTAAGGAACGTATCAGTGGTATCAGAGAAAACGGCTCGACGCTACAACGAATTGACGACAACACTTATTCATTTATAAATGAGATTCCCCCGGATTTTCGGATGCTGGTTGGCCAGGCCCACGCCCGACTACCCGAGGATATCAAAACAATTAGTAATAAACGAACACAGAATATAATTAAGGAAACATGAATAAATAAAAATTTGCTGAAAAGAAACTAGAATGATAATCCAAATACTGAAACCTCAGAATAAAATTAAATTAATAAAGAATTATTCTGATACATCCAAATTCTCCATTTCTAATACAGCTCTGGAATCCATCTGGTGGACCCCTAAAAACTCCAACACTGAAATCATCAACTGAAGAACTCCACTGCTAAATCATGAAGAAGCTCCTACGTCGTCGGAAGAACGAAAAGTCGTCTCTGCTCAGCACGAACAAGATCTAAGACCTGGAACCGTCCGTTACCTGAAAAATAATAGTGGGTCAGGCTTACGAACAAGTTCTATCTTAACTATAATCCAAATAGAGACCCGATACGCAGATACATCCTAGATGTCTCAACCATATCTATATAGTCCGTAATAGATAAATATATATCCACACTACAGGACTCTCACTAAACTGTGTTGAGGGTCTCAACTTGAATATGCACCTGAGTGGGCATAACTACCTAAGCCTAACAGGGTATACCTCAACTAACATAACTAGCTACGCATCATACCGTATGTACGCACCCTAACCGTCGACTATGAGACTCAAGCTCAGATCGCGGTACCATAATTTATATATATATATTCCCATCCAAACCAATGCAGTGACACTCAACAATTTGTTGCCATGACACGACATAAAATTAGGATTTAAGTGTTTAAATTAAAATCCCTATCCATTCTACTAACAGAAAATATAAACAATCATCCGTTATGTCATTCAATTGTTTTAGTTAACAGGGCATGCACCCATGTAGGATTTAACTATTTTAGTTAATCCATTCCGTATGT